AAAAAAAACCGGAGAAATGGGGGGAAAGGGGAACTTACAAAATAATCCGGCAGCCCAAAGACCTGATATCCCAACCTCTTAGCCATCTTAGCGAACCCCTCCGTCTCAACGAGATGATAGAAGGGGAAAGCCGGAAACATGGCTCCGTCACGATGCACATCGGCCTTGACCATCAACGCCGTGCCACCGACGCCATCGAGCTCGATCACGCGCCTCGGGTTGGGACTCTCCGTGTCAGCCAGATACGCCATGAGCGTGCGATACGTGGGCATCTCGGCATAGCCCTCGAGGAGAATCTCATCAGGACCCATACTCTCGGCCAATGCTTGGGCATTGGAGCTATCGACCCACGAGTTGAAGTCATACGGGCGGACCTCCATCTGCTTGTGGTCGGCGTTGTAGTACCGTTGGTAGCAGTTCGGGACGATAACAGGGTAGTTATGCCCCGTCAGGTCCTGGATGAGCGTCGGCGGCGTCTCGATGATATCGGCGTCGAGCCAGAGGACCCAGGAGGTGGACGGGCCGAGGGTGGTGAAGAGGAGGCTGTTGCGGGCGCGGGACATGCTCTCGCGACGGGCCTTCTGGTTCTCGAGCTTGTGGCGCTCCTTTTCGTCCTGGGATTGCAGCGGGGGCTCGAAGTCCTGGCGCAGGATGCTGATGCTGGCGAAGCGGGACGGGATGGGGCCGTTCTGCGTCTTGCTGATGGCGGTTTCCAGGGCGGACAGGGCGGCGGAGCCTTCTTTTGTGTTGGGGATGATGAAGCCCAGGGAGATGAGTTCGTGGGGGTAGTTGAGGTGGGCGAGGTTGTCCCAGAATTCTTGGTAGAAGCGGGCTAGGGGGGTGAGGATGAGGACTCGTTCGCCTTTGTCGGCGGAGTCGCTGGTGGTGGTGAGTTTGTTGAGGTCGTAGTGCACGACGGGGGGAGGGGCCTTGAGGCCGTCATCGCGGACGGGTTGGGACTTGAAGAAGGGTTTGGTGGGCGGCGAGAGAGGGTGGTCTGCGGCGTCTTCGCGGCGTTGCTGCGAGGTGTCTCCTGCGGTGGTGGCGGAAGATGACGGGGAGAGGAGGAAGAAGAGGAATCCGAAGGCGAGGAAGGCTGCCAGGAAGAAGGTGATGGGACTTGTGCGTCGCATTGGGCGTGCGACGGCCATCGTGGCCTGTTGAGGACCGGGGGGAGAAGTTGTAAGGGCGTTGGTGATCGAGGAGCGATTGAGATGATGTATGTCGCAGGATTGGTGTGCGTAACGTGGTCAATATGGGATCGACAGTCGTGGTCCGGTGAATCCCCGTTAGCCAGCGATAAGAGCAGTGCTGTGCCTGACCCCTGACATAGCGAATTCGAATACGAGTGGCAGTAGTTGGTCAACTCCCCGCATGTAGTCTCCGGAGGGGAGCGGACGGAGAGAATGATGGCGAAGTAGACGATCGATGTTCTAGTCCAGTGAAGCTCTCCGGAAAAAGACACACGGACCCAATTTTCTGTCTGGCTCGGTTGGACCCTTTCTTCCGCCTTCCTGCTTTTGCTGTGGCTGCTGGGTCGCCATTTCGGAGCCTCGATGTCTCGACTGGCACCGCAGTTGCATTCAGAGAGGGAGCGAAATTGCACGAGAGAGTCTGATGGCTGTTTCTGGACGATGGGAACACACGTTCAGCGCCGAATGCGGCAACCCTGCAGGGTTCACCCTTTACACGGGGTTTGTTCGTGCCCTTGATTCTTCTTTCAACAAGTAATCCTTCTTTATTAATTTTATTTTACGTTATTTTCTTTGCCCATGTTGAATGCAATCAATGGATTGTGTCTATTATAATAAAGTCGTTCATGCGTTGGTATAGATCTATCTTATGTACAAATGCACTGTAGCCTCTTGGCTTGGTCTTCAAGTCCCCGTCGCGACTGGCACCCACATTTTTTCAGGGCAGCCACCGCATCACACCCTCAAATGCAACCAGAGCCATGGCATTCGCCGGGAACGCTCTCAGGAAGCAAGGCACAAAGCCTCTCCAGTATCCTCTCCATCCTCGCTCGCGGTAAACCGCCACCGCAGCGTCTTTCCACCACCGGAACTGTCGCTGCCCGTCACCCAAAGCGCCGCCCATCGGGTCGGTCATCAGGCGCTGTTTCACCACATCAGACGGATACGACGTAATCCAGAAGATCTGCGCCGAGATTCCACCGGCCCAGAAGTTAATCGCCGGCGTGGATAGATTTGTTTGCTCCCTCATCCACCGGGACAGCACATCGTAGGATCCCCACCAGAAGAAAAAGAAGGAACGGAAGAAGATTGTGGCGTACAAGCCACGATATAAGCCGGAGAGTCCATGCGTGCGAAGCTACTAAAGTCAGCATCATTTCATCCTTACCCTCCCTCGTTTGGGTACTGCACTTACAATTTTACGCGTGCAATCGATCGGCCCACTGTACATGCGCTGCGATTTATCGGCCGCATACTGAATCTGCAGTCGCGCTTTGACGTGTTCTACAGGTGCCGCAATGAAGCTGACTGTTGTTCCGGCCAAAATGCCTGCAATTCCATGACCAAAGCTGGGCAGTGTGTGCCCGTCTTGGTATTTGGCAAAGGGTGTTATGCGGCGAATCTCAGGCCTGGAGAAGACGTTCTCGAGCAGCAATCGGCGATACAGCGTCAAGGAGCCAAGCATGCTATACGTCGGGTCAGCTCCTCCTTCCTCGTCAATTGGAGTAGGGCCCGGACGAAACTCACACAGAGTCCATCACCATCCATCCGACCAGCGGTGGTGTTGCTCCCTTGTATAGTCCCCTCACACCCTCTTTCCGCACTGTCTGTAGCACGCAATCTAGCGGTCCCTTGAAGTGCCCATCCTTACTTGTCTGTAGACGGACCTTCACGGTATCGAATCTATGAGAAACTCGGCGTTAACATTCCTGATCTGAGAGTAGCGCACGACAGGAGAGGTGCCACATACGGGTGTCCGACTAAGATCCGTAGAAAACAAAATTAGCTATGAGCATCACAATGACCGACAGACCACACATCTATCGGCAACAGTTTAGAGGAAATACATACCACTCAGCTTCGCAATACCAGAGAATACACCCGCAACAAATCCCTTATAGTCGCGCTTCGAGCTCGTGACCGGTGCATGTCCACCCCCTGCGGCGGAACCGCCCATTTTCTTTGATGCTTGATGCTCGGGGATTGGCGGCGTTATAGATGTCTCCAATGCTGGTGATGATGTCGACATTTCGAATTATATATTTGTCGCCTATGGCTTGAATACCCCGTTGGGATAATTCTTCGGACGGCAGTATCTGCGCGGGGACTCGACCGCTGTACGTAGTCAGGTCGCAAGGTCGTGTTTTGGGGGGGGTCCGCTATCGGACGAGAGGGTTGGCGATGTTAACAACGTTGTGTAGTCCCCATTAGTCGGTATGATTAACGTTCGCGCACGGAAGAGTCAGAATACGATTGAGACCTTTGGAGAATAATAGAGAAGCCTCCATTGAAAAGAAGTGGAAGAAAACGAGGAAGTCTTAAAGATTCCATGCTTTGCAGCGCCCCGCAAAACTTGAACTCGGCGGTCGGGGAGCAGCGGTGCACCTCCGAAACCTTGCCGATCGTCCCGGACTTGGTCTCCTCTTAACTCCGAGGGAGTGAACGGGTTCATCCACAGCCACATAACCTTGGAGTGCTGATGTCCGCATTATTAATTGATATAGAGGAACATACTAGAGACGTGAAAGAGTTGCCTATGTGCCGCTATTAAGGTAATGTTGGTAACGATTGGTTGGTTATTGTCTAGCGGCTGTGAAGCCCAAATATATATTCTGAATGCATGGACACAACGAACAATGAAATGCCCAGTGAGATGTGTTTTGTTTTCTTTGTTTTCCTCTTCTTTTTGGATCTCTTCATCCTTTCCACAATAGGGAGCTTCGCGATCGTCAACTCATTGTAAAACAAATGCAGAACAGTCTGGCTCTGTTCGGTCTTTATAGTTAATGCAATTGCAAAGGCCCAGAACACGTGATAACAGATATGTGTGGAGAATATCAGAAAAACAGAAACAAGAAATATCAAAAATCATAATAGCAACACACAACATAGAAAAGAAGAGAATGTAAGGCTATGTGGGGTATAAAATACAACAGCTCGTAGTACACACAAAGGCGGTCTTTCCGATGTCTGGAGATTGTCTATAGACTCGGCAGTCAACGCGAACACAACAAACAGGATATGATAATGAGTCTATGAAACAGAAGTCCTGGTAATTCTCGGCAAATACAGGTCACGGACCGGCTCTGCATCGTAGAAAAGTCTCCCTCGGACGGCGAAGTTTAATAGCGATTCTTGGCGCCCTTGTTATTTTGACGCGCTCTCTCGGCCTCACGGACGATCAATCTGTCGATTAAATCGGGTGCTGGACCGGATTGGGTGTCCCGTGAAGCAAACGCTGACGCGTTGGACGTTCCCGAGATCAGGTAGCCGCTTGCCTCTTCCAGAGCGAGGGGAGTGACTGGCCCAGGGCTGCGAAGAGGGTCTAAGCGGGGGGCAGATGGACTTGGCGAGAGTGGCCGGGATGGTGTCTTCGACAAGGTCACACCCTCGACGAGTTCTTGATACTGCCACATCGCGTCCCGAGAGCCCGAGGTGGTGCGGTAGGCGGATGGCCGCGGTTGACGTGGGGATGTCGGCTGTCCCGGAGAACCTGCCGAGTAGACCGCGGGATGGAACCGTGGCAGGTTGCTGAGATGAAAGGCTGGCACGGATTTGGTGGGATTCTGTGTCCGGGAACGGGGTGGTTGTTGAGGAGACGAAGGACGTGCAGAGGGAGACATGGCCGAAGACACCACCGGTGAGTAGAATGTGGAATTGTCTGAACGCATGCTGGTCGGTGAACGGCGGGAGCAATGAGGTGGCGGGCGACTCCGGCGATGGGTCGGCTTCTCTCGGGCCTTGTTATAAGCCTGGTCACGATGAGCGAAATAATAGCCCTTATCGAATCGACCTGTCAAAGGAGTGACGGGAAGGTCGTCCTGGTGCGTGTGGAAGGACGGCTTGGGAATGGGGATGGGTCTCGAGGTAGAGGGAGAGAGGGAGAGAGTCTCCAAGGAGTCCGTGGTTTCTGAGAGAGGTGAGGGAGACCGGGAGGAGGGAGGATTATATGTGGACGAGGTGGCCGTTAATTCTTCCAAGGACGACAGCGATACTCGAGTGGGGTGACCGTGTCTGGCAATTAAGCTTTCCAACTGGTCTTGAGCACCAACAGTTGAAGGGCGACGGGAAGGCGGCGACCAAGAAGATGATGAGAGATTGGCTATAGAACACGCGATCAGCACCAGTATGAGTGGACGGGAGAATGTAGGTCAAGTAGACGAGGCATGTCACACGTGTCAGGTGGGGAGGGGACCCTCCGGGTGAATGTGCCAGCACCAGAATCCACGACAATTCATCGCAAGAAAAACAACGAAGGAATCGAAAGCCAATTGGAAAGTGATGGCCCCCTCCGGTAAGGCAACGTGAGGCCAAAAAAAGTGGAGAGGCAAACAAAGGGGTTATTGGACCAGGCAATCAGGAATCAATTCTTGACACAGAGACATGAACATATCAGATGATGTGGAAGCGATACGATACTGGGAAAAAAAGAAAAAAAAAAAGAAAAAAAAAAATAACAAAAGGTGGAGCCGAATTAACTTACCACTCAGTAATGGCGGAGAATGAAGGGAACTGCAAGATGAAGGATAGAGTGAAGGTGACGAGGAAGAGTCTGAGACGGAAGATCGTGGAGAAAGTGCCATTGAGCAGATTTATATTGTGTTGGCGTTGACCTTTTTTTTTTTTTTTTTTTTTTTTTTTTTTTTTTTTTTTTTTTTTTTTTTTTTTTTTTTTTTTTTTCCTTTTTCTTCTTCCTCAACCCACAGTGGGACGATTCAACGCACCTCAGATCGGTCTACTGTACACAGTAATAGTCGTACGCACTCCGGATCGACGTCTATCCGACCCCTCAACTGGTAACAAATCATGCGAGAGCCTCCGTTGTCAATGCGACGAGGTTTGCTTTTCTTTTCCCCTTTTGGCACCCAAGTTTCGTCTATTAATTTTCCTTCTCTGAGGAAAATTGTTCGAATTTCCCCTGAAAATTAGAGGCCCTAACCAGGGAACAAGCAACTCTATTCAACCGTTAGCTTGCGGGGAAAACCAACCAAAGAGCCCAGATGGCGTCATGGGGGAGGGGCAGAACCGTGACGGTATTGAGACTAAGTGACGGTACGGGTGCGGTACGGATGGCTACTAAAAGCATCCACTCCACTTGAGTCTCCACCCCCAGTCATCTGCGAGGGATTTAAATCTGGCAAGCGCGGTACGTTGTCATGAGGGGCAAAAAAGAAGGGAGGCAAAAAGCTCAGATAGGCAATGCTCACATTTGAGACAATCTCTGCTAGTTTCAAAAGCGTGAAGTTTGTCAAACACAGGGAGCTGAGGTGGTTCTTGGCTCACAGACTGAGAGTCTGTACCAGATCCCTGCCAATATAAATTTCCGTCTCCGTGACTGATGGGGTTCCCGCGGAAGCGACGGACACTAGTAGAGATATGGCTAGCAGGGGACATGGATCAATGACACATCCCCATAGCAAATGAAGAATACGAGCGTATCGAGTGAAGGGGCCGAACGGTCGCAGAAACTATTGCACAAGACAGATAGAAAAAAACCACAACGAGCCCGGTTAGTACTACTAGTAGTAGGATGGTGCGCGACAAGAAGCCAATAAACTTTCAGTGTGTATGCAGGACGCCAGCACTGGAAGTTCTCGGCGAGTGGTCGGCTTTCAAGCACATTGCACAGGTGTCGATTGTTAAACTCGCAGGACTCGTAGGACACTTTATACAGAGCAGGAAGCAACTGGAATACGGGGCGGAGTACTTCCTTTTAAACAGAGCGGTACATGACTGATACCATATTCAACCGAGAGACAAGAAACCTGCTGTAACCACACATGGCAAAATCGGCTGACCTAGACCCTTCGGTTTCCCATCACGACCACCGGGTGGACAAAACAAGGCACCAGTCAGAACGGAAAGCCTCCAGTGTTGAATAATACTACAGATGATGCTGGGCGTGAATCCAAAAGGGTGAAGTTGAAACCACTTCGCACTCGACCAGTCAACGGTTGATCGTCGAGGAGGGTCAAAGTGGGCGATGACTGGAAGGATGTTCCAGTGTGATAGACTTAGTGCTCGCACTAGCGGCCGGACTAGTCTGCAAGTCATTCCCACGCCAGCTGATAGGTATCCGAGAAGACGATCCCCTTGATTTGTGACCCCAGATCCGAGCAATTCGGTACGCACAGTCGATCTTCAGCTGCCGGTGCAACTTGACTAGGTTCTGAAGAGTCTCGGCCAGTGGATTGTCTCGATGGCCTTTCACACACACGCTAACGCCATCAGAATGTCACTTTGGTCCTTGATGCGCTTTTATCAATGATTCCAGAGACATTGCTTGATAGTATCGGGATCATCTCTAGGCAGAGATAGTGTGATAAGCCCTAAAGTCACCCAAACTCAACCGGAGCGATCAGACGACGCCCCCACCACCATCACACTGACTCCACACTGCACCACGCCCAAAGACCACATATCCCCGTCATCATTTTCAGATATGGCCGGTCGCCGTGGTTTTATTGTGTTCTTGATTTGGTATCCACTAGTTCACCCTGCGATCCAATAATGGCTACAGGATCTCAAATCCAATTCTCTCAGGCGGCTTGGTTCTTGAGATATACTATATGTTTACTCATAACAACAGGTCTGCACAAGGAAAACAAATATAGAAAAATGAAATAATATTGCATATTGTGAGGACACGCACTGTGTGGCTTAGCTTTACTGCCTTCATCGTCTTCATCCTTTTCGCCCTTTTCTTTGTCTTGCTTTTTTGTTTTTTTTGTTTTTTTTTTTCTTTTTTTTCAAATGGCCGACAAAATTTCCCTTTCCTGGCTTCCCCTATAATCGGACCTTTTAAATTAGATTATGGCAAACTTTCAGCTAACTAAAATGTTCTTTTCTCCCAGGCTCGATCCGCCCACACGGCTAAGGCGCAACTAGAGTTGCAGGCACACTTTAACCAAACAGTATGACTCAAAAGATGAGGACTAACATATATTGCAGGGGAAGGTGTCGTCAGACGCAACGTCGTCCTCCGGCCGATCATTTGAGCTCATGAGCGGCGATCGGTCATGCGTCGCCGATGTGATTAGATAGACCCCTGCATGGCTGAGGCGCTCTGGATAGAAGGTGGGCGTGTGCAAAATACCTTTCTTGTACGTTATTGTTTCCCCTCTACCTACCACATCTCCCCCCCTTTAACCGAATATACTAAAGATAGCACCACGGGAGTATTTGAGACATTTACGTGGCCAGAGAGAACAGTCATAGCGGTAGCTCTACTGGCGCATGCGGAGGAACATAGTAGTTGCCTAGCGCATGGCTTCTGACTCTAGTGTGTCCCATCATGGAATACAAACCCAACCACTGATGCTGCGTTGAAGCCCCAGGGGGGGGGCCTCTCATGACCACAAGCACCAGCATTAGTGTGACTCAGACCGAACGGCTCCGTCGATGACTCGCTAGAAACTGGGTTTAATCCCTCCTCGCACCTACATTGCATGAATTGGCCTGAGCTCTAAGATCTCGTTGCATTAGGTTGCATTGCACTTGAGGGATGGCTGCAGATGCAGGATCAGACCTCCACGGCCGCCAGGGCAAGTCCATGCCCCATTTGTTCGATCTATGCTCGATGACGACAGAAAGCATCCATGGCATCATAGGGATGCGGATCTATTCCCCAATAGGTCTGTAAGTAGCACCTGCACTAGGGGATATACGCATCAATGTGCGCGTCTATCCATACCAGCTGGTCCGGAGCTTATTGATCCTGACCCGGCCATGCGAAAGAGGCTTTGAATTAAACCTCTGAGTAGAGATCTCTAGCTCTATATATGCAAGGATAAATTCAATGAGGAAGTGCGGGGTTTATGGTGCATTCTGCTGGCTGCTTTTGGAGGGAGAATGAAACATAGAACCGCATCACCTGACAGGCGTGGTCTATTTTCAGACTATCCTTCGATTTTGGTTACACTGTTTGAAACATGCCCATACGTTAGTGGATGAACACCTCCTTCTCATTTTCTTCAGTCAACTGCAGAAAGATATGTTTCAGCCTCGAGTAAAACTGGGCACAGACCGTATACCTTACGAGTATCCTCGTATTTAATATGGCCTTCTGAGACAGTACGTCTTCTCGCTTAACATATTAAGAACAGGGTGTTAAATAATGAAAGACTATTGACCATCCATGTACTACGAGCTCGTCTTCCCTTCGAGTGGCTCTTTTCTTGTTCCTTGCAGCACTCGCGTCCTCAGATTTGACTCGAACGTTACAGCCTTGCTCTACACTTCTCGGTGGGATAACTAGAGAATGAAGAGGTCGACCATACAGAGTGATGACCCAGTCTTCACTCAGATAAGACAGTCGGCGCAGACCCTGTAGGAGTCTAGGTATGGGCAACAATCTTGCAATGTCTGACATTTTGTAGAGTTACCCCTATTCTTGTAGTATTTCCCTTTCTTGCTCCGATGAGTGCATATGTTGATCTGCACATGTTACTTGATTTCGTTAAGTTTATTCTCCTTCTGGTGGTAGATCACTAATTCGGCTGGATCAATATAGGGAATAGTCGTCAATCAAATTTATCTCGAGATCAATGAGTATCTCCGATATTATAAACAAGCTTCTCTCCACGAACCTTACCGTCCCTTAATAGCTGAAGTCCATCTAAGATACCATTTAGCCCGGCATTACCAATCCTAGGAGGATGTGTCTTAATCTTGCCACTGGTCAGCAAGTCTTGGAAAATGCCAGAGAATTGTTCCATAAACGCCCGGTCGCCTGGTTGAGCAGGAACCTCTCTTGGCCCAAATTTGAAACTCCGACCAAACGCCGTATAGGCCATAGTGGATCGGTCTCGAATATTGTCACGAGCAGTCTTTATTGGCAGGAGTGAGCTGTACTCGCCGCCCTTGGTCGATAGCGCATGATCACAGAACGTGGCACTGCTCTCCACCGATACCGTATCAAAAGCTAACGTAAGACTGTCGTTCGTTTGCTCTCTAATCGCCCTGGCGGAGGTTGGATCGTTGTAATCGAAAACAGCGTCGGCACCCAGATTCTTGACCTGGTCGAAATGGCGAGGGGAGCAGGTTGTCAAAACTTCATAACCTGATAACTTCGCAAACTGAATCGCTAAAGCTCCAGTAGCCGTGGAGCCCCCGTATACCAAGATGGGCATTTTGCTCCGGATATGAGCGACGGGAAGAGTAAGCTTGAGACTTTGATAAAGGCCAAGAGCGGCGGTGGTAACTCCAAGACCTAAAGTCGCCGCCTCTTCAAATCCCATGCCTTGAGGTATTCTGTATTGAAGGTCTCCTTCGACGATGATATACTCGGCAAAGGCTCCATCCTCGGGTTGAACGGCATTAGACCCGTGTACAAACCCACAGATCCGGTCTCCTTTAGTGAATGATTTCTTGACGTTTTTGCCGACTGCTTCCACAATCCCGGCATAATCACACCCAATCAGGACACCAGCCGGAGCGAGGAAGTCAATGTGTTTCCAGTCGGTAGGATTCAGTGCGACGCTGACGGTCTTCACTAAAATGCAATCGTCACGCAGCCTCGGAATGGCTCTATCGCCCACTACCTGCGAATGCTTGGGCGAAGTAATGATGACCGCTTTCTGTGATGCCATGCTAGTATGGTTGAATGTATGAGAGGCTGTTCATAGTTTTATGATGGGCTCTTCACTAATATTTATATTTTTGACTTGACCTGGTCGCTACATTACACTGCAGCTCCGTTTATCTCCGTTTCCTCCGACACGGCCATAGTACCCACTTTGTTGCCCAATAATATTCGATCTGTAAGCAGCTTGCATTCCTCTTCTCGTGGGTCTGGCTTTCAGTTAGTCACGGAAGCCATTGGTGATTGGCGATATGCACAAGCAACCTTGGTAGGGGTGTCTCAAGGTGCGTTTATCTATCAAGCCCCGCTCAGCTAATCTTGGAATTAAAAGACCCTGACGTCAATAGCAGTTGTGTGAATCCGTACTTTACTCCGTATATACGCCGATTCGGGGATGTCTCCGACAGGTATCGCCTTGGGAGACGCTCTTCCGCCTCTTTCGTTCATGTTTAGCTGCAACTATAGGGCCTCGTGCCACTGCCTAAGTCCGCTACCCGGAGCGAATCCAAGAGAATGCAAATGTGCTTGGCTTCGAGCTAGGTGATGACGACATGCAACCTCTGCATACTGATAAATATACACCTTCCACCTGGTATCCTACCGAATAGCAGGATTAGAGATGCTATAATAGTTGAAACGAACCGATTATTCTTCTATACCCTTTTGAGTACCAAAAACCTTCTTCCAAACAAGGGGTTTTTCACTCCTCCGGGCTCTCCATTTATTTGTCGAAAGAAGAATCTCGGGACACCCTCGAAGAAAAAAGGCCCACTTCTTGGCAAAATCCTCCGTGACCTCCCAATTCTCAGGGTCCCAAGGGGTTCCCCATACCAGCATTGTGGCGTTGCTACTGCGTGTATCCCAGAATGCCGTGAGATCATGGCACAACTCATCATCATCTAAATCGCTCCCGGCACGGATGAGGTTATCCCGCATATGTGGAATTGGGAAAATATCAAGCCATGGGTGGTGCGGTACGGTTCGCTGCAATGGCGTTGGTTGTAAGCTTGGAGGAATGTTATCCTCACAACGTTGTGGACTGGCCAAACTAAAAATAGAGATTGTACTATCCTGACACATCCATTCCGCAGTCATGCCAATTGCGATGACGTTCTGGTAAGCTGCGCGTAGAACATTTAGCCTGCTCAAATTGAGGAGAAGGTCTGTTCTGGGTGAACCCTCGACATAGCGTGCCATGGCTGCCCTCTCGAACTGGGTCATAAGTGCATGTACGTTTGGAGGGGCAAAGGTACACTCCAAATGTTGCACCTCAGATAATGCGCATGTAATAGAGTCATGTTGTGCCAGCGCTTTTGCGGTAGTCGGGCCATGCCCCGCGGACTCAGGCTGGGCACTGTTCGCCTGCACAGCTCGTTTGTCCCGGCCTTGTCGGCGTAGCCCTGCGATCCGGCATAATCGAACTTGGTCAGTTTGGGTCGGGTCTTGGATCCGGTGTGGGGTCAAATGGAAATCTCACGGTAGGCTCTCTGGTTCAGCCGATTCTGTAGTCTGCGCCGCGCAGCCGGATTCGTGACACCGGTCCAGTCCTCATCGGGGGAATACGCCCTTTCCTGCGCTGACATTCGCTGAAGCCTCATCGATGGGCTTGGATCCACTGCTTGCTCGGTCCTTGCCTCCTCGGTCATGTTGATAGGACCAATAATCTCAATACTTCGTCGTCGTGACTCGAGCGTTGTGGTAAGGAAGTTTAGGATCATTGGCTTTAATCTTAACTTTAAATAAGACGCTTACACCTTGATGTTCATTGGCCAAAGTTCCTGGAGTTGGATTTATAATCATCCTCACGTCGGGTATGGTCCATCGGGATTTTCAATTAGGGCTTACTGGCCAACCACTAATGCCGCACTAAGTCCGATCGCTTGCCCTATCTTTTGCCACTGATGTTGTCGAAGCTTGATCGACCATCTATACAAATCACCAAATGGCACAGCGTAAGCAGCTTATTATTCATCATACATTGTCCCCACACCATAATGCACAATTACGTCCAGCCTAGTGTCTACTAGTGACTTTCCCCACTACCTAGCATATAAAAAGAAAGCCTATCTTCGCTGTTCTGTGAGAATCTCCATGAGCTAGCAATTATTCCTCCTCCAAACTTGCTCTCCAAAAGAAACATGGCCACCCATCCTGCAATTCAAATGACCGGCGTCAAGCAGCCGTTGAAGTTGGTTCAAGTCCCGACCCCAAAGCCCCAGCGAAACGAAGTCCAGGTCCGAATAGAATGGGTACCCTCCGCACCCTTGGACGTGTACCAAGTGGAGGCTGGCTTAATGGTTCAGTTCCCTCAAGGTCTCGGTGACAGCGGCGCTGGTACCGTGGTGGCAGTTGGGCCCGGCGTCGAGCGCCTTTGTGTTGGTGATCAGGTCTTTGGGTTCTTTTTTCACAACGAAAAGGAAAAGGGCCAACAGATCTATGTAACCGCGCCAGAACACTTATTTGGAAAGGTGAGCATAGATATCTCTTTCATGACATCCCGTAAACCACATTCCATAGATCAGAGTCTCTGACTGATAAACTAGGTTCCCCCTCGTATGCCACTCGCCGCTGCGGCTACGGTACCGACGAATTTCTGTACCGCATTTCTGACTCTCTCTGACAAGCTTAAACTGGAGCTGCCTTGGCCACGTCCCGCCAGCTTCTCTCCTCAGGACCAACACGTACCAATTATTGTCTGGGGTGCAGGGAGCTCTGTTGGCCAATTCGCAGTCCAGATCCTCAAATACTGGGGCTACACGAACGTCATTGCAACGGCATCTCCCAAGCACCACACAAAGATCAAGGGCTACGGTGCTAAACATGTCATCGATTATCATGACCCAAATGCTGCTGATATAATCCACCAGATACTTCACACAGAAAGCCCCGGCCTCTCTATCCGCGCTTTTGATTGTGTGTCCTCAAAGTCCGGGTCTCTGCAGCACCTCGCCGAAATCGTAACTCGGCCGGGCTCGACGGTAGCTGCTGTTCTTCCTGTGGTTATCCGCTCTCCTTCACACAAAGAAGGCGTGCATCTTTCGGCTGACGTGGTCGCGGAAGCACCCTGGGTGCCGGGTGTAAATATCCATGGTGTTATAAGCTATGCGTTTGAAGCGGTATTTACAATCCCGTCACTTCGAATCTTGGTTTGCGTTCGGACGGCTGACGTTACAGTAGGATACTTTCCTAAAGGATCATCTGTTGCCGGAAATTGTTCCCGCGCTGCTCAAGCTAGGTGCTGTTGAGCCGAATAAGTATCGTGAAGTTCAAGGCGACTCGCTTTTGCAGAGAGCTTCCACGGCTCTGGATATCCTACGAAGTGGCACTGTCAGTGGAGAGAGGCTCGTTTGGAAGGTTTGGACCCAGGAGGAATACCCGCAGTATAAATAACCTGTCTTGATGGGGTTGTTATGTGTGCAGGGTTCTTGAATATACTAGAGAGCTAAGATGGCGGTGTTGAACCAACTGCGAAACTTGCTGGACAAAATCGTTTCCATGTGTACATACAAATCATCGCGATTGCATACGTGAAGGTAACGGCCACTGGCTAATGTCAGATAAGGATAGCAGAGACAAGATGCACAAGGCAATGGAACACATAAATATACCACTCTATTCTACTACTTGACAAATTAACCAAACACACAGCCCGCACCCTTTAGATCCCACAAATAACCCCCTTTCCAGCAATCTTGCCATCACGATGATCCCTAATTGCACGATCAACATCGCTCAAGCCACCAGAGTATTTCGTGTACCGGACACCCTTCAAAGTCCCTTCGCTCAAGGCCTTCGGTGTCCAAGCCCCAATCAAGGAGGAAAGGAAGTCCGCATCCTACAAATCTCAGCACAACCACACAACCTTACTGAGGAGTGAGTGAGTGAGTGACTTACCGACTCGCCCAAGATATCAACAACGTTCGTATGCACCAAGTCAATATTAGGCCGTCTCAGAGCCTCCAAAAACTGCACGTTCGCCACCTTGCCTCTCTCCCCAGCAATATCCAAGCAAGCAGTACACGTCTCCTGCGACGAGATCGCATCAAAAACCATCTCAAACCGCAGACCCTGCGCCTTCACCTGCGCAACCACATCCCCGGCTCCATAGTCAATAACATGGCTCGCTCCCAGACTCCGAACATAGTCAAAGTTCCTCGCGGAACAAACAGCCGTGACATCAACATGTGACGCCCTGAGCAGCTGGATCGCAAAAGCGCCAACAGCACTCGCGCCGCCCCAGACGAGGACCTTTACCGCTTCGGCGGGAGCATTCGCCGGAAAGGGGTAGGGAAAGCCGAGGGATTTGAAGACGGCGGTGGCGGCCGTGAAGAAGGAACAACCGAAGGTGACGGCAATTTCATCGGGGATGGAGCTTGGGACTTTGAAGATCATGCGCGGGAGCATGGGGACGTACGTCTGGTAGCCGCCGTGGCGGAGGTCGGAGGCGACTCGGCCTGTAGTCATCATGGATTGCATTCCGGTGAGTTGTTGCTGTGTGTAGCCGGCTACCTGTGGTTGAGTTAGGTGATGTTTGGCTGGAGTTGAAGGATTGTGTATATACCCTGTCGCCGATGCTGAAGCCGGCTACGCTTGAGCCTACTTCGGTGATTTCTCCGACGATGTCACAGCCTGGGATTAGGGGGAGATCCTGGGGGAAGTGGCCTGAGTATATCTTCCAGTCTGCAGCGTTGGTGGCGGCTCCCTTCACTCTCACTAGCACTTCTGTGGGTTGACATTTTGGGATAGGGAGGCCCTGGATGGTTAGGGGACCGTGGGATTGAGTGAGGACTGCTGCTTGGTTGGCCATGTTTCTTGGAATGATGATAGTAGGGTTGTTTATTTTTGATTTAATAGCGAAACGGGAATTACTGTGGTGTGATGAACACGCCAGATCCACAGATTATATAGACAAGATATAGCAGATCTCCCGTATATACGGCGCAAATACGGCGCAGATACAGTGCCAGAATTTGTCAGCCAAGGTCTTTATTTACAAAGCATTACTGAGTCTAGGTAAAGGCAAAGCGAAGAAAGATGGTGCCGGGTCAACATAAAGGTTGGGCGTTGGGATGGCAAAGCTCTTCACCCAAACCTGTATTGTCTAGAACACACCACGAGGGATGACACTCGACATGGTAAATTGGAGGCGTGGGCCAAACGCTAGGATAGTGGAGAATCTATTCCAGCGCACGGCGTAATGCAAAGCGGTCACCCCTTCGGAATTCTTGTTCATAATAGAACAACCCCAATCAAGGAACGTAGACATTCGTAGAACTTCCTGTGCCGCACGCAAGGTGTAATACTGTTTGTCCTTTCCTGTTACGGGCAAAAGCATTAGCCACCTTCTCGAGTAGTGACTGAACAACTACTTCCTATTGAATAGCCGCTGGCTCTCCTACTTTTTTGTAGAATTTGGTCCTCGATGCTGAGAAGGGACAGAAATGTAGCTTTGCCTGGAGGAAGTAGAGTTGGCATCGAAATAACAATACCGGGTTAGGCAGGATTCCCGGATTAAAATTTCTCTATTATTCTTTATTTTTACTATTACTTTACTATTAGTAGAGATCAATCTGAAACTAATTTGTTATATGTAGATATATCGATTCTTTTTTATATATATTATCGGGATGCTGCACTCCGGGCAGGTGTCATCACGACCAATGTAAGCATTGCGGATCAGAGTTTCGGTGCTGTCGCGCGTTGAAGCTTGTAGTAGCTCCTTCGACTTCAGTTTTCTAGCTTCAGAGTCATGAAAGAACTATCTGGACATGGGGGTAGAGGTCCATAAGGATCACAAAGCTCAAAGCCCATGTTAGTATAAAAGCCCCGGGCATTTTCAAACCAAACGCCTTTCCCGGTCTCTAAACTTAACCTGGTATATCCTCGTTCCTTCGCCACCTTGATCAGATGCTCGACGATCGCCCGTCCAACTCCTTTGCGAAAGTGTGTGGCGACTGTCCTCATTGATTTCACTTCGCCATGTGTTGGTGACAATTCCTTCAGGGCTCCAATTCCCATTAACTCATGGCCTTCCCAGGCAGAGTAAAGAGTCACATTTGATGCCTGCAGGCTCGAAACGTCAAGAACATCGCTGGAATCGACCATGCGGTTTATTTCGGCCACGTGCAAGGAAATCAAGGCAAGTACGGCTGGAGTTGATTTAATGTCGTCGATCTTGATGAGCATTTCGAAAGAGAGTCGATTCTGGAGGAATGGCGGAGGGTAGGACACAAGCGTAACACGCGGAGAGAAAGCTCGACCGCCAAATAGAGTGCGGGATGCAAGAAGAACTGTTGGAGGTCTGTTTGGAATATTCTAAATGTTTCATAAGGTTTTGTGAGAGCTAGTTATGTGCTATAATACGTCTTGCAGATAAGGTAGTGAAAATGATTAGTCAGCTAATATGTTAACTTTGCGCGGAATATTCTAGTTAAGATAGAATATATTTAGGATTTGAAGAAACTAGACTAGTAGCTTTAAAAGTACTATAACAAACAATAGTGTATTTCAGAGAGATACGGCCTTCATCCACTTCCGGTCCCAGCGTGGCATCACGTCGTCCAATTTTATGGGAAGCCACTCACGGATGAAAAGATTAAGTACAACGACGAAAAATTGAATTCGCTGAGTACAATAAGCTGCTGCAAAAATCGTCGACACGCTCAATGACAGAGTCTTCATTGCAGATACTCTATGATTAGTGACTTTATGGACCGTAGACGAGGAGCTCCACAGTCCACGTAACAACCTTCTATACGATAACGCAGATGATGGGCTTTCGTTGTCAGAAAAGAAACGAAAGACTGAAATAAGGCTGGCCGATGCCAGATTAACTTTACCTCTAGATATCAGGATACTATACTTAAAAGACTGAATACAGCTTTCTTAGGCCAAGGCTTTCATGAGGTAAACAGCCCCGAGTCGGATACTCCCAGTGTCTTCTATCGTGCTTTCCGACCATCATGTTATAGTCGCTATGATGCAGACCTTAGTTTTCGCTCTTCTAGACAACCGTTGACAATATCTTGCCACCAGGAGGGTACTCTTCGTGTGACAGCCTGTTAGTCAACGAGGTAGTCTTGCGAACTCACTGCGAACGGTCTCAACCATCAGATTTAATTGCAATGTCTGATAACCCAGCAAGGATCTTGCGGATTGTTGCAGGTTGGCGCTGGAGTAATGAGAGAGGAGGTATGATAGCTGTGATCAATCCGTCGAAGCTACTGGCTTTTAAAGTGTTGCTCAACCGTACAACAACGTTAGCTGAAGAACTAGGGGTCGATCTCCGGGCCAAGGATCGGGTAACAGGGCTCGAGTGGGCAAATGAGAACTACTGGGTTGCGTATCGGTGGATTCCAGCTGAATGCATAGAGTTTTGTATTTCGCCCACATCATTGACAAGGGCTTGTGAGACGCATAGAATAGGTTGTAATCCAAATCACAAGCAAGCATTTACTCGCACACATATACAGGGGGATACAATTATGCAAAGAGGTTTTCCCTAGAAGAGTTACTATCCGTTAAAATGGAACAGCTGAGCTTGTGAGCTTTCTCATCCATACGGGTGCTTATGCTTTAATTGATAGGCTTGTAATAGCAGCGGTAAATTGTGTGCTGGAGGACACAGTTGCTCAAGAGCTGTTTGATTGCCATGTGATGTGAAGCTCTTTTCGCAGACCATGTGTGTGGAATTAATCAATTTCAAACTAATTGTTTACGATCACGGGCTATATGAGGAGAGAGATCTTTCCATAAATGTACCAAATCGACCTTGTCGGCCCCACGTAGTAGGCGCGCTTCAAACAAAGCCATTTACGACTCATCATAACTTCCTATATAGCTTAATTGAACGAAATAATACCTAGTATTTAGGAACCGAGTCTTAGTTTCATACATAAGCATGTTCCTATTTAAGTAATCATAGAGATTACTGTACCTTATGGTTGCAAGATTATATAATTCTCTTCATAGAATAAGTTAGCCACCATATTTGCCTAATCTAAACCCTATTGAACACATGTAAGTTTCTACTTGGAGAAGGCATCTACTACACGGTCCCCACCATTGAAAACTGCAAGGGATCAAATGTTAAGAGGGAGGACATCTTATGGGAGACGGTACAGCTGTCATGGGCCGTAATTAGTCAAGATATTCAATATACAGTACACTGACAAGAGGTATGAACTATTCGGGTTGAGGCTGTTGCAGAAGCAATAGGGAGGAATACCAAGTACTAGGCAATTTTATTTATTATTGCTTGCCATTTATTTTGCATGCAATATACTGAAATCAATATAATTCGTTTTGCGTTGTAAGATATACATCGTTTTGTGGAGGGGTGGTTGGGTTGCGCGGCAACCCGATTAATCAAAACAACCTTTGGGCGGCGGCACTGTACATTCTGCTTTGAACCAAGCCAAAACATACCACCTAGCTAGTGAGGCCAACACTCTGATAAACGAAAATAGTTTCAATATTCCAATAACAATTGTGTTTACATTGTCGGTATTTCCGGACTTTTCGTTACATAATCAACAAATAAATGATGGCTAGACGTTGCCAATTTTTTTTTGACAAGAATCACGTGTTGAACATTTTTTACCCAGAAGACAAATAAAAAAGTACGAGGACTGAAAGTAGATGTTATGTTTCCACAGCTGAAACCTCTTGAAGAAAGACAATTAATTTCTTCTTGAATTAATTGTCCGGCTCAAAGTCTCTGATGGGAAGCAAGCTGTAGAATTGCCGGGCATATTCTGCGTCACTTTCCTGGATCTCAGGAGGAAATGTGTAGCTCATAACAGACTTGGGATTTGCCGTGCCGATCTGAGAAGATCGAACTCCTGCCTCACGCTCGGCCGCAAATTCGTGACGCAAGCCTAACACATGTCCAAGCTCATGTAGGAAGATATTCTTTAGCATCTTAATATTTTTCCCTTCGAACGCCCTCTGGTAAACATTAAGCGTGTTGAGATCTTTACCATTTGGGAAAAATGCTTGGGCGAGAGTATCCCCATTATCACCTCCATACGCAAGAACGAATGCAGCGTCTTCGAGGTTTGAAACCCGCTTGAATTGTACACCTAACTTCACGTTATTCCACTCCTGGGCTGCCATGTCGAGCTCCTTTGCGGCTAGTAGAGCATATCTCTTCTCGGGATATCCCTCTGCGAAAGCAGCAAAATTGATTGTGGAGCCAAATGCCCAGCGGTCAGAGTATTGTCCAGCCCCAACTCGCAAAGACGATAAACCCGTGTTAACTGCCTTCTTCTTTTCAGTCGCACAGGAATATACTTTTTCTCCAGGTTTGTCTTTTTCAGGTTCATAAGGTGTGTCGCTCGGCTTGCCAGTTTCTGTTACGGGGATAGTGCTCAAAGGATGTTTCTTTTCCTTGGCTTTCTCCAGTTGACTAACGAATAAAGTCCTTCTAAACGTAGAGTGCCTAGCTTGACTTGAAGCCATGGTTCTCGCTGGTTATGATTGTCTTAATTCTGGAGTAGGATGTGCATTTGAACCTTTATCAAGTACGGCAAAGTAAAACTTGATTGTTCAATTTTAGGGGCGGGTCTCGCTCGAGGAACAGTTTATATATCTTCAAGCTGGATACCTTAATATATGCATACCACTTTCAAACCAATGAATGGGCCGGCAAGAAGCCCGATTTCATCATCATTATCTCTTCTGATAATGCCATTATAGAAAACAGGGCCAGAACCTCGTAGAGCGGTTGTTCTAGATCAACGTCGGCTTAACCTTGATATTCCGGTATGGCCTTAACGATGGGAAATACATAGTCGTACCGGAATTTCCTCTTCAGCCTGTCTGCAAAAGTATTAGTTTGTCACCGACACGGACTAGAATGCGGTGAATAAATGTAAAGGGTCTGCTCAGGTTACACAGCTCAATGGCTCTAGAACCTGAAAGACCTAGGCCATTAGAAAGTTCTACAACGAAGTCCTGAAAAGATGCCAATATATCAGAAATGGATTGCCTAGGCTTGAACACAAGAGAAGCATCCATTGGCTGGTAAACATCACCAGCTCTCATGACCCCACCGTAAAGGTAACCTAGAATCAAAATAAAGTTGTATGGAGAAACTTAAGACGTCCCGGTGATCGACTGCCAAGCCTTCCAAATGCCTCCTACAAAGACGTAGGTATTCTAACGGTCCAAGCCAATACAGACAAATAGATCTAAATGGTAGCTCTAATACGAGAGCATCGCTTGAAGAATAGTATATCCCACATAGGCTCGCTCGTGGGGTATTGCCTATCTCTAGTACAACCCAAGACAGAATCACATTATTACTCGCTGGTATTCACCAACTCTGTGGCCTGTATAGGAACTGCGCCGTCACAGGTATAAATGTTATGTATAGTTGTTGATCGAATACACTGGGAACTGGCCAATAATGCCATGGATTTCCTAAATAAAGAGACCGGTTATCTACGCATGAACGTGTAGTGCACATAGGAAAAAAGCATCGACATGTTCTCAGTATATGGCGTGACACGATTTCTTCCTGGGCTTCACATAATCAGAATCGTAACCGAAGAGGTACCATGGTTCATCAGCGTCCAGGTCGGAAATCCGTCCGTTTGCAGCGAAGACTGACATTAAACGTAAATCATCTTTTTCGCAGCGAATCTTGATATTTCGAATTCCTCGCCAACTACAGCGTCTGAGGGTTCCAGAACTTGATCGACTACATCTAACTATCTGCTCTAATAATTGATGGTCATATCAGTGGGGCTTCAATAGCATGGCGGTCAGGTTATCTAGACCATGAGAAACAATAATGCAGAACGCGGTCTCGAGTGGACCACGTTACTGCAGTTTGGTAGACCTATTATCTGCCATACTGATACTTGATCCTGCATGCGACGGCTCAGGCCAGATTTGCTAGCTGACTTGTTGTTCGTCTTTTTATTGATTGGCCAAATCAACAAATTCTTTGTTAAGTAATGCTTTGTTGAAAGCTTCAGAATACAATGGACAGTTCTAGACCTAATCTTTACTGAACAAAGGAAGCCTGAAACAAAAGTCCCCATAAATCTGCGCTAGGCGACTCACAACCAAATATTATACTTCATATTGTCAACCACTTGTATCATCCCTCGCACTCCCTTAATGTCTACTAATTCTAACAGCACCACTTGATGTGAATTAGAACCATTTCAGCGTGGGGTTATATTTGGTCGATTTCTTGCAGGCCAGAAAAGGGCTGATTCTTTATTAAAATTAGGCTTTCTGTCTGCCATCGAACTTTCTAGACAGTTTTAACTCTGCTAGTTAAGCTTATACATCCTCAGGAGGCAGAGTTTAGGAGTAACAATTTCAAAATTAATTCAACTAATCTAGCTCTCCAATTTTTAGCGTAAAACCTTGACTTATTTAATTTGGGCTTCCCTTCCACAGCATCTACCTCTACGTAGATTGGTACAAACTTCTTGGTCTAAACAGCTGCAAACGATTATACTACCTCAACTGTTCTCTACTGCTAACTTTACATAATAAAAGTCTAGATTGAGCTATCTGAGTACTTCAAACAGACTACGTCCAACTAGCTAAGTATTTCCCTTTTCCATAAAATACCGACAATCTTTAATGGCACATTCAACTGGCAGTTCAGTGTCACTTGAGTATCACTCCAGCGTGAAATTCTGAAAGCCGTTATCACTTTACTGAGTACTGATTAAGTAGAAAGTCTGAATAATTTCTCCTCGCAGCGGTCAGCCATCTATCCATGTGTTTCTTCGGGTTCATCTTCTACCCTTGCGCTCGATAAAAATTTAATTTGGCGGATGAATTGAATAGTTATAAAGACCAACGCTACTGACATTTCTCAGTGGTAATGTTGATTGTAGTTATGAACAGACTTAATGGGGTTATGTCAACAGAACTATAGCATCGAGATCACATTACTGTGAAAAGGCGAGCCATTCCGCTTGGGGCAAGCTATAGTGACTTCTCATAACTTTTGCCACAACTCCAATGCCTGGAAGGAGCTATCTGCCAATTGCCTAACATAGTGGCAATATCGTGATGTCAAGACAAAACTATGTGCCTCTTCTCTGGACCAAATCCTTTTGCCTCTGTCGTATATGTATAATACAGGAAACACAACTGCTTCTATTGCTGTAGCTGGTCGTGGAATTGCTTGGCACAGAAAACGTCGCCGCAAGCGACAACGGCGTAATGTATTCTAGCCTAGCATAGTCGTGGGATCCTTGGTATGCCCACAGTCCGCCAAAATAAAGCGTTGGCGAGTCTCCACTTATCGATATTGCCACTTGCATGGACCTAGTCCTTTGGTTTGGAAAGGGGGGTGGTTCGGGTTCTATCCAGCTTTGTGGCAGTCTTGAAATAGGCTATGATTCAAATATGTTCCCGGGGTACTTGCTGTGTCTCTTGATATTCAACTGTCTTGCCTACGTTGTAAAATGGTCTTACCACATACTGATTTAGAGGGGGGCGTCCAATATACTACACTATAGGTTATACAGTTTAGCCAGATTTAATTTGGGGCAGGAAGAACGTGAACCATGATATATTAACAAGCTTTAAGATCACGCCATAGTTCTATGTGGACCAGACTGCCTTAATTGACTGCCCCGGCTGCCCAGGCCTCAGCCTTATGGAACCGCCGTCTCCAGTAATAAAAGCTTGACCAATATTAGAAATGAGAAATGTGTTATGATTAAATAATAGAAATTCATTAGGTTAATAAACTTAGGTCAACTATAAGTCGATGGGCAAGCGTACCAGTGGGTTTATAAATATCTTAATTCTATCCTCGTCATAAAGTAAGAGTCTCAACTCCTATCTATAGACTCCACAGCAGGTGTTAATCGTAACTGTGGTTCCGTGGGAGCTCTTTTTCCATTTCTGTGAACCATGAGGCCAAGTTAGAGTCTGTGAGAGCTTGGGATCACGTCGGTAGCGGAATATTAGTTACTTGCTACCTCTAATGTATCCATGACGTTTACATCGAGGGTGGTATGAGTAGCAATGGCCTAGGTGTAGACATCGCTGACACAATGGTGACCGAGCAATATGATCATAGTCTGCTAGTCTACGCAAGACTCCTCAACACTCCAAAGCCACTCTGTATACAATTCTTACTTCATGTCTGTTTCTATTATATTCTTTATTTCAGTTGTCCTGTACTTTTGAATTCTCCATGGACTTCATTCGAAATTACTCTAGAAAAGTATTTTTGGTAGTAGGTGGGCTTGCTCTCGGTATAATCCCAATGACGAAATGGAATCCTTTGAAAATCCACGACATATATGCAATGCAGCCCAACCTGGAGATTATCAAAGACAATAAGAACGCTCGATTTGAGTGAGTCTATTTCCCATGAAGATGTGGTGGCTCTGACTGTGAAAGCATCATTTTTGTTCACGGATTAAACGTAAAAGGAGAGGCTAGCTATGCCCGGAATGCATGGACAGCAGACGTAAACCGAGAAAGAATATTTTGGCCAGGCGACCTCTTACCATTCTCTGTACCGAATGTCCGCGTCTTGCTATTTGCGTATAATTCCAGCATTACGTGGAATTCGGCAATTGCTGGTGTCAAAGATCATGCAACTACGCTCATGAATTTGTTGATTTTGAAGCGAAAGGTAGTGTTGGTTTGATAAATTGCCTTTGGGTCTAACAAAGCTGTTAGGAATCACCAGAACGACCGCTTATATTCATCTGCCACAGCCTCGGTGGCCTTGTGGTGAAGCAGGCCCTTCTACTAGACGACCCCAAATTTCAAGAAGTCATTAAATCCACGTACGTATCAAATGGCCATTGGTATGGTTTGTTCGCTGTTCACACGTCAACAGTCGCGGTCTTGTCTTCTTTGCTACACCCCACCGTGGAGCGACAGGTGACGCAGTTGGGGTCGGCTTCATTTGCGCGGATATAGTTAGGGCTATTCAACGAGAGGGGAGAAATCCCCTGCCTGAGTTACTTCAAAGAGACAGCGCTTTGGCAGATACACTCTCTCGTCTTTTTGAAGCGAAGCTTAACCAATTTAATATCATATCAGTTTATGAAACTAGGTCAATGAAGCCATACGGTATAGTGTGTGTGACCTCTGTAGATTATTCCCTCGTGAGCTAATGCAGTTTGTCTAGATTGTTGGCAAAACGAGCGCTGTACTGGATCTTCCCCAACGCGAGACAGAAATTGACATCGATCGCGATCATTCAACAATTTGCAAGTTTCCAGGTCCAGAGAACCCAGGCTACAAGCAGTTCATCGGACACCTGGAGCTCATGATGGATAATATAATGGACACAGAGGAGGAAACAAGGAAGAACGAAATGCTTCAGAGCCTAAGCAATTCTCCTCCCCTGGAGGAAGCCCAATTTTTGCGACGAGCAGAGCAACTCGCCTTTTGGTACGCAGGCCATAAAAAGTACGAAATATCCGAGGAGTTGAATAATCGAATACTACAACTATGTGATAATAACTCTAACTTGGGCCCAAACAACCCAGCTGCGATTGATGCGGCCTACAACAGGGCATTCGCTTTACAACGTTTGGGCCGATACTCAGAATCAGAGCAATTGTACGAACGCGCCATAACTGGTTGGAAAGCTCTCACTGGCAGGGAAAATGATCACGCCGTTCTCGACGCGCGCAGACAGCAAGCGGTGAACCTTTACGAGAGTGGTAGACATGATATGGCTGAACGCGAGCTCAGAGATATATTTGAAATAAGCAAACGGAGCGGCAATATGCATGCAATTCTAGAATGTCAAGCTAGTTTAGGTGATCTGTTCCGAGATCTCAAAAGATGGAATGACTCACAATCGTTCTTCGAGCCTACATTCGAGAAAATGAAGATAGAGTTGGGGCCAATGAACGAAAGGACGCTCTATATCCAAGGCCAACTTGCGTTCGTCCTCCAAAGTCTAGGGGCCAATGACGAATCGGAGATCTTGTATAGGGACCTGTTGGAAAAGCGAAAGGAGAAGAACGGCGATGTGAGCCTTGACACGTTGGCCACAATGAGGGATCTTGCCCATGTACTCCAAAAGAAAGGGAACCTAGCCGATGCTGAAGCGCTCTGCTGTGATGCATTGAGCGGGTTTAAGAGACGGCTCCCGGCCGGACACGACGAAATCGAATGGACAGATAATAGCCTCACATATATACGCAACCAACTGGACAGACATAACCTAGTACGTCTGAGGATGTGAAGTTGTTGGGATAAGGGATGGGGACGTGTACGGTACTGCTGAAAACGGCAATGTAGCTGACCAACGACCTCAACACTCTTTTCGTCTACCAGAAATTTCCCGTGAGCCCTGCATTGTCGGCTCCCTATATTACGTTCTTTTACATGAACTTGGGCACGTACTGGGCCTACCACATGAGTTCCCACCCAAGAAAGAAGACTGTGATCCGTCTGCCCATATTGGCTCTCGGAATCCACTTTCCGTGATGAGCTACACATTTCCTCCAGATTCAATTATCCGATGCGACAAGCACACGGCTTTTCTATGAACTCCCATAAGGGTTCTTCCAAGGTCTTCAAGTCGTCCATTTTATTCCCAATTGCTGATGGCGGACATTCGTTGATCAAAAAAGATTTTCTGACTTCCGATGTAGGATGGCAAATCAAAGGGTATGCTAATTCCTTCCGAAGTTTTGATTCCTACTATTTTATTCAATGTTTTGAGAGTTTTTGGAGAGAAATCTGAAAAAGCTTTAAAAACCCCAATGTGGGAAAAGACAGACGTCACAGTCTTATCCTGCTGTGAAATGGTATTCAACATACCATACCGCCTTCTGTGCAACTGTGTATTTGAAATCATTCTATCTTCGAGATCAATACTGCATCTCTGAATACTATATAGTTAGCGAACTAGCTCGAAATGGCAGCACTTGCACCTATTAATATACTTACAACATCAAGGACCTGGGCAATCAATGTATCATAGTAATCTGTTTCTAATCCTACTTCAGTAGAAACATACTACATTTTAATTAAGAAGTTAGCCTTGTATTAAAATATCTTATCCTACTACAGAGACAATTTCGAATGTATATAAGAACACCAGTGTAGCCAGTTAAACGAAGTCTAGATGAACTCTACGGCCTGGGTTCGTTTTGTATAGATACTTCATTTGTCTACCCCGAAGATGACCTGTCCTCGCTCATTATGAATGGTGAGTATCATGTCTGCTTTCCTGCTACCTCTAGATCTTAGGTGATACGCCCTGCAATACAGGAGCTCACAGATTCAACGGGTGCTTTTTTCTCAGATATCCACCAAACTTGTATATCAAATATGGAACTGGAAGGAGCGCCACGGATATAAAACCCAAAAGCGAGTTTCCCTACTCCAAATATTAGCATCAACAGCAAGCACAGGGACCTAAGACCTTGCACTACTTACCCAGCCATACCCCAGCGTTGTGTCTGTAATTGAATCCTATTAGCCTCTTCAGCTTCCAAGCAGACGAAGAAACGAAATCTCTTACACATCTGCGGTCCAGCCAAAGGAAGAAACGCCCCAAACAATGAACGCATAGCCGTCAATGCAGCTACTGCAGAAGCAGCGTATTTGGGAAAGGCGTCAACCATGTACGTTTGGATGGGGATGAAGACACCAATCATGCCAAATCCGAACGGGATCATCCCGATAATGGGCACGACCCAATGTGTATGCTTCTCAACCGCCCACCCGTACCAGAAGAATGAAATGGGGATGAACAAAGCGAAGATACCACACGCGGCAAGACGCATCTCGGGCTCATATACCCCGTCGTTGCTACGCGTGAGGGTCACTACTGTCTTGTCGTTAGACTTTGCCACAATCCCGAGCCCAACGAAAAATCCCAGGCCGATGCCCAAGTATGCCAGGCCGCATAGCTGAGGTGACCAGCCATATGTGACCTCGTAAACGCCGGTGATGGTGGTAAAGAGAAGGTATAGCAGTCCATAGACGAGAGACATATAAAGGGACAGGATGAAGCTGATCGGGGTGGCGAAGAGTAGCGTGACCGGCACTAGGATGCCTCGTTTGATGATCTCAAACCTCGTTAGAGATACATCCCGCTCATAGCAGCTGCGGAGGTCGGGCCTGTTTGTTTGTTGGGCGAGGAGCTTAGTCTTCTTTTGTATAATAACTCCAGGGTTTGTCTCAGTGTTAAAGACTTCGATGCCCACCGTCGCAGTTCCTGAAGCGATGAGTAACACCCAGAAAACCTGCTAGCGCTTTAGTATTCATTGATAGGACAAGAGTGAAGTTTGCTTAACATACCCATCTCCAGGTGACCTGCTGAGATAAAAACCCCCCTGTAATGGGGCCAATGACTGGACCTACCAAGGGTCCGATACTAAACGCAGCCATGGCTGCCCCTCGTTCGGTTGGGGCGAAGAGGTCACCTATAATGCCACCCCCTATCGTAAGACATCCAGAGCCACCTATACCAGCCAACAAACGGAAGATAATGAGGGATGCCAAGTTTGGCGCTTTGGCACAACCGATCTGCCAAACGACGAATATTGAGTTTGCGGCGAAGAGAACAGGGCGTCGACCATATATTTCACTGAGCGGCGAAAGGACAAGAGGACCAAACTATGTTCTATCAGAGCGGGAACAGCCCGGATCGAACTGAGATACTAACAACGTAGCCAAGTAAGAAGATGCTGACGACCAATGAGCTTAAGACCTCGGATTCGTTGTGAAAGGACGCATCCATGAACTGAACGCCCGGCGCGAACATGGATGATGCAAGGGGACTAATATGAGGTCAAACGAGAATGCCGAAAATGGAGATGTAGTCGTGATTCCCACCTAAGGAAAGACATGAGACTGACAAAACCCAGGATGGACCACTTTCGACCATTGGAAAAGTTTCTACCATCAGAAACGGGTCAGTTTTTCGATCTATGGTGCGGTGAAAGCCAAGCTACCTGGGATTCTTGGGATCATTTTGGCCATCCCAGCCCACTATACCCTTCTCCAAATTGCTTTCTGGAAACGAATCTTCGAGAGTATACGATCCGGATTTTGTTCCGTCTGCAGTTAACAGGCCACCTTCCTCGGCATCAGGTCGGGTTTCAGTCTGCGTGAGCTCGGGGCCTTGCATCGTGCGTTAAATTAATTCTATAACAATAGGGAAAGGTATTGTATTTTGAAGTATAAGCAAAAAAACCATATATGTCAACCTGGACGAGAATGTAGGGCATTAGAATTTATAGTATAAGAATGCAGCAGCCTATCAGCTTGCAGGAGGCCCAGCCCCCGTATTTACGCCGTAATTCCGGCGTAACTGCGACCGCAGCGGATTCGGCGGCGTATATACGACCTCGCCGCCCATTGTGCCTCGACTCACCCCTGCATATTTTCCAAGAGGTATGGTTTAATTCCTCTGGGAAAGGTGAAATTACAAGCCGAAGCGCTACTGCATCTTGTCATAATGAGCGAGTCTGCCTCTCACCATAGATTGCCGGAGCCTGAAAGGTCTCCGTCCAAAACCCGACAGTCTGGACAAGTCGACGCTCCACCAAGAAAGAAAAGACGGCGACAAATTAACTCATGCGCTGAATGTCGGCGGCGTAGGTCTCGCTGTGACCGCAGGCTTCCATGTGCGGAATGCACGAAGAATAAATGTTCATGCCACTACATCGACGACTTGGATACGCCCACGACCCAACAGCCGAGAGACCCGAGCGAAAAGAATGTATCGTTTCCCTCAACAGTCCCGTCAATATCACAAGAATTGCCTTTACCAGACCCTACGAGTCTTGCTCAGGCACATGAGGAATTAACCGCACGTGTTAGCAAAGTGGAAAGTCTTTTGAACACCTACCTGCCACTCCTGAGTCGGTTACAGTCAAGCCAGAATCCCACTGATCCACTGCCCCAAAGGGAACCTACACACCCCCAACCGCAATACCCTCCAGCAAATACCAGCATTACAGCGTCCTCTGCTAATGTGCCCATCAACATCCCCAAAATATTGGAGGCAGAAGGCTATCTAAGAGGGAAGAACGGGCGTAAGACTGAATTCGTATCCAGCCGGCATTGGACGGGCTTAATTTATCTAGTGAGTATTATGATGATAGATTGGGTTGCAAGAAGTGAGAATCTGACTAAGAGATTCACTCAATCATACTCAGTTCCCAGAAATCTATTTGCTCCGGACTCGACCCAACAGTCATCCCATCTGCTATATGATCAATCAAGTGTTCATGCGCATCCGAGAACGTGCCAAGAAGCAGAAACCAGAGCCGTTATCATCATTAGTCCCTTCACTATCACTCGATACTGCGCTTCGTGCTATTATCCCTTCCAAGAAAGTTGCCAGCGCTCTGCTGGATGCCTACTTTGAGAACTTCGAGAAGATACACCGTGTGATCCATATTCCATCTTTCAAAGAGGAGTTCGAAGCCTCTTGGCGCTCCCAAGGGTCATTGAGCCTTTCCTGGGTCGCAAATTTAGTCATCATTCTTCGCCTCGGGCTGCTCGCGCACCCCAATCCTGAAAGTATTTCAGAAGATGCCTCTCCAGAATGGCTTCCATATATAGAATCTCAGGGTTTACAGCTGGCCGAGCTGTTCTCACACTGCAGATCATCAGAGGGCCGACCGTCCCTTGATCATGTTCAAACACAATGCTTGCTTGTCGTGGCTCGTATCACTGATGGGTCAAAGGCAACAGTTGCCTGGAAGCTAGCGGGACAACTGATACAAACCTGCCTTATCATGGGGTTTCATCGGGAGTCAGAATTGGTCGGCGGGCATATGTCCATCTTTGACGCCGAGATGCGCAGGAGATTGTGGACAACAGCCCTAGAGTTGTATCTACATGTCTCAAGACATGCCAGCGTGCAAGAGCCATTTCTTCAAGCCCAATACAATATACGCCGCCCATTAGATATCAACGATCGAGACCTGTCCGCTAACATGACACGTTTATCAACGCCTGATGTTAAAGTGTCTGCCACCGATATGTCCCTCCAGCATGCATTATCAGAATCATTAGGACTACGCCTGCGCTTGGCCAGTTCAAAGCATAATGACATCGGACTAGCGGAATTACCAGGAGAGCACTGCGCATCCTGTGGTCTACGCAATCGACTTCTTTCAAAAGCCCCATACGGACTATCAAATGGTCAATTCTTTGATCAAGGCACTTATGATCAGCGTCAGCACGCTATGGCATGTCTCACTCACCAAAGCGCATTTCTTCATTACAAATTAACAGACCTTTTCAAATCAGACCTTCATCCTAAGGAACAGGTTCTGGACACTTGTCGCTCAATTCTCAGCCTCTACCAGCACCCGGACCTCTCTCCAGTACAGCGATTCATTCTTGGGCGCTGGTATCGAAATGACATCCTGACCTCTGTTATTTGCTTATGCTTGACGTTGAAGGTGGCTCAGCCCGATGACCCTGACACATGTGTCATACCACCGACTCGAGGTAAGCAGATATCTATCCCTTTCGTCTTAAATGAATACTCAACTAAGATGTTCTAGACCTTTGCCTGGTGCAGCAATATTCTAAATTAGTCGAAGATACCCTTCATATCCTCTCAATGAGACGGGAACAAAACCAAAATGAGATGGAGGAGCATGTACTTCTTGTACTGCTGTTTGCTATCGTGAAATCAAAGGGAGTAGAAACAGTTATTCCAGGTCAATTACAAGAGTGTTTGAGAAGGTTTGGGCTTCCGGTCTCGCCACCACCCTGTAATAATACTTTGGAAGGAACAAGCCATGTGAGTGCTGTAGAATGGATCATCCATATCTATGCTGTACTGACCCTAGGCACGAACAGAGCCTGGCTTCGGGGCCAAACGTGGAGACATTTGCGCCGACGCCCAAAAGCTTCTCGTCTGCGGACATGGACATGGTAAGCTAACTGAGAGTAATTTGATACGTTAAATATGCTAACTTGCAAAGGTCTTCGATATTGATTTATTCATGTCCGAATTCGCTCTGGACATTCCATTCTAATCAGTCCGTGGTAATATGATGTCTTTCTCATTTCAATACCCTGCATGAGTATAATAGCATGGTCCGACTGTGGTGAGACTTGCAGGCCTGTTATAGAATAGTCGTATTGTACTGTTGCCGGTAATGGCTTCCAACAACTCATTCCTAAAGGATTTGGTAGAGTTGACTACGGTCCAATTTATTATGTCAGGCCGGCCATCTCTATAGAAGCATAATCTATGGAATAACAATAAGAAGAAGAATGAATAGAAATATTAGCCGTTGGAGGCGAAGATAGAGAGATGTTTCTAGGCAGCAGGCTAACTTCTTTAAAGCTCAGCTATTTCAATTTCTTTACATGGATCCCTATCATACGGTGCATTCCACTAACAACACAAGACAAAAAGCGCAATGTCGCCTAAAATGATACAGACCCACCTAGCTAATGCTGGACGAACTACTCCGTACCCCGGAGCAAACAGATGTAACATAAGAGCCAGCGTCCTCCAATAGATATTGCTTAACTATACTAAGTAAAGCTTAGCCGACGATTAGTGGACCCCCACCCACCCTAAGCGTGGGTCCTCTCGACACTGGGAGTTCTCTAGTCAATGCATCTAGAGGGCCCTTGTAAGAAATTAATTTTAAACGACAAGAAAGGCCTAGTACTGTACCGATGATACAGCGAGGGCGAGCAGATACAACTAACTAGACGCGAGCCATTTTTAATGGTGGATGCATTAGTTTTACTAGCTAAAGCGGGTAAATATAACAAGACATAACACTTTCCTAGGATTCAACAGCAGCTGCATATATGTAGTTAGATGACATGAGTAAGACGGGTAACTTGGAATAAGATGTAAAATTGGGTTGACTCTGTACGACATACACATCACGCACGCTCGAGTATTTGCCTGGCAACGACACTGTAACAGTAAATCCGTTAACATCATTCCTCCCTCATCAAAGACATTTCTCATAAAGCCTCAAGTCTCAATTTAGCATCGCCATCCAGGAAGAGAGGATTTAGGACCGATGATGGCCCACGGGGGCTGGCAGCTCAGCGTATTCTGATTGAATTGGTAGAAGTTTCCTGTATCCAGATGAGTACGTTATAAAGCTCTCCGAAAGGTCCGCGTACCGTCCTTGCATTGGCAGAATGTGCCGTCGACGCCGCAGTCCGGGTCAGAGCTTGAAGCTTGGTTAGAAACAGAGTCCAGGAATAGCATCGATAGAATGCTCACAATGGGGTGCATCCACTATCACCACGCGGAACAAGATTGTTTATGGAGGTAGGAACGGCTGACACGATGGTCACACTGAAAAGCCCAAGGATGAATGTGGCAGGCTTCATTGTGCTCAGAAAGGGACAAAGCGAGATTGAATGATGATTTGGGAGGATCGAATATATCTGAGGAGAAGGATGAACGAGGAGACAGTCAGAGGGCGGCAGTCGGCCGGCTCTTTATCTGTTTGACAGATGCACGATTTGCTATATGCTGATGAGAACATCTGGGACAAGATCTCATGGAAGCGATAGATTGGAATTGGAAGAGACTGTTACATCGCCCTCGAATACGTTAGGTCATATCATGTCGGCCAGTAGCTCGAGAATTATTCGGCCTGTCTGGGATTCTGGTTTCGCTCGGGGTCGTGAACCATACAATTAGTGCATGTGAGACGACAAAAAGAGTGGGAGCAGAGGATGGGACTAAGAAAGGCACAGCATTAGGCTGATGTTTGAGTGGAGAGGGTGATATCGAAGGTCAACATGGTCCCATAATTAGCAAGGGTATAGGCAATGGCCGCTCAAAAAGCAATATGAGCTTGAAACACTAGCATAGTGTAGTATAGCCCGGAGCACAGTGGCATGCTAGCTTAGCAGTGCCTACGGTGACTCATAATTAGACTAGTAATACTAGTGTTATATACAAGTGCGTTTGCATTCGATTCCTTGGACTGGCGCTCAACCACGAGCTAAGTGGGGCGAACTCTGGACATCATTTATGGTCTCCGACGACTTCCGCCACCTGTACTAAATATGTAGGAACCCCACCACTACTTTTTGCGCCCCTATGCATGAGCGAGGCCCTAGACAGACCAACTCACCAATTAGTAAGAGGGAAGCACGCAAGGAGCACACCCAGGGTATGAGGGGCAAGTTTACTTTCATTCAAATATTATATTGTACTTCACTGAAGTCAACCCACTTTGAGTCAGTCCTGTTGTGAGTCCAGTGACTTGTGTTTGTGCATCCAAAAATGGATTCCTCCAACAGTACCCGCCCATGTCATCTGTTGCAGCTACCGGCTGAGCTGCTCTACGAGATCTTCCAGCGATGCCCGGACGTTTCTGCCCTCTGGAGTCTGCTTAATACATCGTCGCGGATGTTAGCAGTCTTCAATACGAGGGCGCCGGAGATAGTGGATGCTGTATTGAACTGGACGGTCCCAGTTCAGACTCGACTTTTTATGCGACAGGTTCTCGCTCTGCGCACCGGCGTACATTCATATCACAGTTATGAGGACGCCCAGACTGACCGATTCCTGCTCTGCAAGAGAATTATCGCAACACCAGACCAGCTCCGGAGCTTTGTGGCGTTATCCCACAAGGTCCATGTCTTGGCACATCTCTGCATTGAACGTTGCCTTCGACATTGTCTAGATAGTCCGCTCGGCCAAAGAGAATACCCCGTGGACTTCAAAATTCCTACATGGACAGAGGAGCAACGAAGCATTCTATCGTTTTGGCGCGTGTTGTTTTGCAGTGAACTCAAATTGCAAGGACTGAAGGGACATCTAAATTGGTCGCCCAGAGAGCTTGAAAGACTGCAAAGTCTATGTCTTTACCAGAATGTTTCACGGGACACTCCGATATTCCAGGCCATGACCGCATTACGCTTTATTTGCGAGCAAGCTAATCCAGAGGGCTCCGAGGAAGAATTGTCAGACAGACTTGAACAAACTAAACCACTTCAGCTGCCTAAGATCCCCGAGGGCTCTGAATTTCGCTGGACATGTCAGCCACCTCCCTCTCCATTGGCTGTGACTCAAGGCTGGAGTCCTTCGGACCCGCAGCTCCCCGAACCCAGACCATATACCAAATCAGTGGCGAGTCCGATCCGGCAGCCAAGAGTAGCTTGGGATACTGATTCCGAGGACGAGGAGGACTTACTTACCCCAGCCGAGAGTGAGGAGTCTGAGAGCGAGGAACTGGAAAGTGACGAGTCCGAAAGCGATGAGGGCGACAGTGATGGATCGGAGATATGGACAGGAGTGGATCGTGTTTTTCGCATGCCTGAGGCCAGACTCATAATCGTAGAGAATCCTCCAAGTGACCCGGAGATCCTTTCCCCAGTGCCTTTCCCTATTCAAGGTTTTGGGGAAGTTCCAAGCGGAGGGGAGTGGCGAACGCTCCATGGAGAAACGCTTGGTGTACAATTCTGGGAGCGCATGAATACTCAGCGTGATGCCGGCCCGGCTCAATATATATGGCCAAGGGCGTATCTCAAATATGGCTTCGCTATCTGGGAAGAGCAGAGAATGATTGACATGGGACTTTGGTCGACCGAAGCTCGAGTCGATGCATCCGATCATCTACGAAGATGGTATAGCTTTTTGAGTGAGGAAGATCTTATGTTTCACGACTCTAGACGCCGTTATTATGATTCCTCTTAGATGAGAAGGATCTTTCTTAGTGTCATTTCAAGCATTACCAATACTCCAATTATCTATCTAACTACGTGTTATTGCCAGGGCACACTTTGGCGGATTCTCTGTACTATAACACGCCCAACATGATTGCACGTAAGCATTGATACGTTGAGCCTTGACTGAGCATACATAGAAGTCTCGGAATCAGAAACAATGGGCAATGCTTCGAAAACCGCGATGCATGGGAAGGAAGTAGCTCAAGCATTGTATGTGGCCCAACCAGTGTAAAATTCAATAGGGTACGTTTCACCTGAATCCTGGCTGGTGTATCTCTCGTTTTGTGTATAGTCGTACGCAATGCTAAACGCGTATAATTAACACCAATCGAGGGTTAGGTATCCAGCAAGTAGGGAGTCCATACCTAGTGTAAACATAGCTGTGGGGGTTCATTATTGCCTGCTCCTTGGAAAAGGTCTCCTGCGTCCCTTTTGTCCCCACACGCTCCGCCTTGCCAGTCATCCGCTTGAATTGATACTCCTCACCATTCTCGGGATCCATTAGCGTTGCAAACAGGAGATGGAAGAGCTCGTGGTAGAAGGTTGTCGCCATGGGTGACACCATCTTAATGGTCGTTTTCTTTTGGGGAGGCTTGTTGCCCTTGGCAAAAACACTGTCGCCGAAGGGGTCAACTGTGACCGAACGTAACCTGCCACCAACAAAGGCCTCATTGCAGAGCACGACAGCACCAATACCCTCTTTTGACTCCCACACAGTGTATCCAAGAATCTTTTCACCAGAGCTGCAGGGGCCTAGCGTGGGGTCGCTGCTGAAACTTTTGTCAAACATGTAGGCGTTGAGGCCACTGCACCAGTACTATAGAACCCTTGTCAGCAAATTTCCGGCACGAAGTGCTTTCAACATCCTGTAGGAGGATTATACCGGAAAGACATATTTTGCTTTAGAGACTCCCAGTTCCCTCATTGCCGCCTTCTGGCGCGACTTCATCTGCTTGTCGTCTTTAATAAGGTATGGGGAGCCTTTTTCATCTTTCATGAGGTTGCCCTCCTTGTCCTTCATTTGACTACTCATATCCTCACGGGTTCTCCACGAATCGCTGCAGAATAGGTACGGTTTTCTCTTCGATGCACCGTGGAGAATCTTGCCCTCCTTTTCGAAAAAGTTCCGAACAAGCTTGAGCCTCCCTCGAGTAAATTGTCAGTACCGAACCTTTGTGTTATTTGCAATCTGTTTAGCTTACTTGCAATTCTCCCCCGTTCCTCATCAGACGGGTCTTGAAAAATTGCTCTCACCAGTCTGTCCGCCTCGGATCGTGTCTTTGAATCCTTGTCCGTGGAATCCGAGACTGCCTGAATACCAGCCTTTGATAAGATATAGGCATCCTCAATGATCTGCGAGAAATCATTCTTGTGGCCAGCACAGTTACCATCCACCTCAGGTTTGAAGCTAACCTGGAACATACTTTCTATATCTCTAGGTCCGCGGGCCTGGGCAAGGGCGAAGGGCCAAGTATTTGCCCATGCTGCGAGCAGTAATACAGGGGCAAGGACCGAATGTAGAACGACCATAGTGGCTGCAATTACTAGGAATGGACTCGAATAGATATTCTGACATGGAGGAGGTGGGAACAGTGTGCGTTTTCTGTTGTCGTTCTCGTCCCTGACCTAGGGAGGCGAGAACTATGAACACAACCTAGAGATTTTATGCACAGTACCTTTGATTTTGCTGCGCTATTAATTTTAGTACTGCACTGCCCTAGTTGTCACGACCGCTAATCATGCCGGAGCTTGTGAAGTTGGCCCCATTGTTCCATCCATAGCCAAATGCATATCCAATGCCTCGCCTGGAGAGGAGAGCCCCACTGACGAGCGGATACTCATTTCCGATGTAGAATGACAGGGGAGTTCTATATTTGCGGTTGCGTTGAAAGGAAATTAGAAGCTAATGATTTCGCCCGATTGTGAGTCATGAATGAGGCTAACACTTACGGAGTACTCATGGATATTGATCAAGGGCCTCTAAGGTCGCTTGATCCTAACAGAGGTTACATCGGCTGCAAGCTTTAGGGCGAAGACACTACCAGTTAAGCTATACTAGTAGACCCACACAAAAATACAGACTGACTATGAACGATTTAGTTAGGGTCTTGTAATATTTCCTGGCGTGACCTGCTGCTGTGCTACGCTTACACTAACGTCTAAGTGTCCGTTAGTGCTTGTAACCTACGGAATAATCGGATTTGGTCCGTGATCCATGTCCACAGGAACCATTCTTAAAATTAATACACACTACTAACCGCTAAGACTCACCGCACAATGCGACCTCAAGGTAGAGATGTCAGGGCCTGAACGTAGATATGAACACAGCTAGTATGTCTTAGGCAGGAGACTATACACTGACTCTGCCCCTTTGGCAAATATGCATTAGCGCAGAATGCATAGCCTCTAGCATGGCGCGGAGGTGGTAGCGATACACAGTATCTCCGTTCAGGAAGAACGTGGTCAGGCACAGTACTCGAGATTGTGGAGCGCAGGTGAGGGAGGACCTAGACACCTTGCCCTTGTATTGAACTACCAAGTTCTCTGTTTCGCCTTGCAATGTGGGTGTATGTTATCATTGGAATTTATTCTACCGAAACGGGAGAAAGCAATGCCCAACATCGTGCTAGCCAGCTATACCCATATACCTATACTCCTCACATCTCTTGGTCTCCAGTGTCCCAATTTAGGAGGGAGTACAAATTCTGCTTCATCTATGTGGAGTCATTTCCCAGGCCGATGTAACATTGCAATAATTCGTCTTCGATAGTCGATATAGTCGGAAGCTATGGATACCAGAAGGGGCAAGATGTTCTCCCAAGGCTGGCCCTTGCATTATCTCGTTAGGAATTTCTCTTTCTCCACCGAGTTTGGGGCGGGTAATTAGGAAGCAAGAACACTTGGCCAGGGAGTTGTTTGACCACTGTCAACGCTAGTACCTGGCCTAATGCGAGATATTGAATTAAAACGGATTTGCTAATAGTGCTGGGATCCCGATATCCGTTCTATCCAACTCCCCAGCCGAGGGGCCAACTTCGGACCCCTGTGGCAGATGTAGACACTCTTCGCTTCATTTATTTGCTCACATCCCCCTCTACTGTCGGTAAGAGAAGCCTTTCAATTAGGAGACATTTGGACATGGTGTTGGTACATAGTATCGCATTGTTGTGGCTCGGCGCGCAGGGCATCACCCACGCGCACGCCCACTCTCATCATGGCTATGCTCATTTGCACCATCATGCGCATCATCATGACCACCGCGATAATTCAGCCACAATAAATGTGCTCGAAGAAAAACCACCGTTACCACTGGGGTCACCTCATGTTAGTGAATTCACTCCCCGCCATCAATGTAACTCTTACTGACTTAAGCAACAGCCACCGCCGGCCTATATGAAGGACAATGTCCACAACTACTTTGGAAGTGCACCAGACCGCGGCTCTTTGACTGGCCCGGTGCTGGGGCCACTTAACGCCACTATGGAGCTGGCGCTGCACGGGACAATCCATGCGCGGGATAATGGTGACAATTACTGGCTGTCGAGCCTAGGAAGCCACGGGCAGGTGAGTCGTGTCGGGTAGAAGTATATGAATGTGTCAACCCTACTGACTGTCTTCTTGACAGTCTCCATTTGCCCAATCCGGGTATCAGTTCTTCCGAAACGTCAAAGACTTCGGTGCCGTTGGCGACGGAGTTACAGACGATACCGCAGCAATTAATCGTGCGGTAACAGCATTTAGCTCATCAGATCACACTAATTCGCGGTGTGGAAAGGACTGTGGCTCGACATCCACTGGAGGAGCTGTGGTGTACTTTCCTGCGGGCACGTACGTCATCAGTACACCTATCATTCAGTATTACTACACCCAGTTTATTGGAAACCCCAGTCAGAAACCTACTATCAAAGGTTCTAAGAATTTTACTGGCATTGCCCTCGTGGACTCGGACTTTTACATTCCCGGAGGCAATGGAGACGAATGGTACATCAATCAGAGCAACTTCTATCGACAGATTCGCAACTTCGTGTTTGACATGACCAGCATGAACTGGACCAACACGGACAATAACCAGACATACGTGCCCGCAGGTATCCACTGGCAGGTGGGCCAAGCAACGTCAATCACTAATTGTGATTTTAAAATGGCTGTGTCGACGGCGGATCAATCCGCAACTGCTGTGGGTATCTACATGGAGAATGGTAGCGGTGGTATGGTGGCCGATCTGACATTCACTGGCGGGTATGTCTGACTCCTTCTTTCTATTCATTTGGTGCCATGGTGTCTAATACTTCGTGGGTTTCTAGAAACATTGGCTTTCTGGCTGGAAGTCAGCAGTTCACAGCAATTAACCTAAAGTTCACATCTTGTCTGACGGCTATCAAGTCCATCTGGAACTGGGGCTTCACGTGGAAGAACATCTATGTCCTCTCCTGCTATATTGCAATCGATGCCACGGAGTACTCTGGGCTGGGTAAGCAGGGCACTGGCTCCATCGCAGTAGTAGACTCGCACTTCGATGGGGTGCCCTATGCGATCACAGTAGCGAAGCAGGATAACGAACAGCCCAGCATTTTACTTGATAATCTGCTCGTCGAAAACTCCGCCTCCGTGGTACTCATCTCTGGCGGTGATACCATACTAGAGGGATCAACGGGCGCATTGTACTTTGACTCATGGGTGAGTGGCTATCGTTATCTACCTGATGGGTCAGGGGGCAGGTCTAGTGGCTTTATGAGTCAGAAGCCAGATAAACCATCATCTTTACTGGACGGGTCTGGCGCCTACTTCCGTAGAGCGAAGCCTCAATACGAGTCAGAGACCCCAGTTGTTGCCACAGATCATGGGGTCTCTAATGATGGTACAGGGGACCAGTCTGCTGCTATTAATAGCCTTCTTTCGGGTAATGTGGGATCGGTTATCTTCTTTCCCGCAGGGGTTTACGTGGTTGAAAGCACTGTGAAGATTCCCGTCGGTAGCAAGATCATTGGGTCCGGATGGAGCCAGATTATGGGTACTGGGTCTACCTTCGAGGACGTAGAGAATCCAACAGTAGTCGTCCAGGTCGGTGATAAGGGCGACCAAGGAGTTATCGAGATTACGGATATGCTCTTCACTGTGAAAGGAGCCACGGCGGGGGCCGTCCTGATGGAATGGAACGTGCATGAGAGCACTCAGGGAAGTGGTAAGCCTCAAGTCCTACTATTCACATGGTATTGGGTTTACATTTAGTGATACTAACAACCGTTCCTTCTAAACTAGCTGCCATGTGGGATACTCACTTTCGTGTCGGCGGGGCTAACGGCACACACCTTGGGCTGGAGGAGTGCCCAACAAAAGCTGGTGTCAACAAGAAATGCATGGCGGCACACTTGTTGATGCATGTTACGAGCTTAGCCTCTGGCTACTTTGAGAATGTATGGGCGTGGGTGGCAGATCACGATCTTGATAGCCCCTTGAACTCCGAGGCCTTCGAGAGCGACGCTGGAATCCCCTTGAATGTCCAGACTGATATTTCCGTATATGTTGGCCGAGGCATTCTGATTGAGTCCCAGGGTCCTACCTGGCTATATGGTACATCCAGCGAGCATGCGCAGATGTACCAGTATCAGTTGGTAAATGCGGCCAACATCTACATGGGCCATATGCAGACCGAAACCCCATATTATCAACCAAGCCCCAACGCTCTGAGTCCCTATATCGCTGGCACGTTCTCAGGGGATCCGACCTATTTGGATTGTGATGATGACCTCTGCAAGGGTGCATGGGCACTCCGTGTTATTAACTCCAGCGATGTCTTCGTCTATTCGGCTGGATTCTACTCATTCTTCCAGGATTACGACGAAGGCTGCATTGACACCGAGGATTGCCAGCAGTCCTTGATAGAGACCAACTTTGCCAACAGGCTATATATGTACAACATCTTTACCAAAGGCAATGTCGAAATTGTCTCCCCTCGAGGAAGCCTCGCGCCGCTGCTGTTCAATGACACCACCAGGAATGGCTTCACCAGTGAGATTGCCGCCTGGCTTGCACTCTCGACCGGGGGTGAAGATATCGGGTCGAGTAGCAATGACTCAGGGACAGTTTTTCTTGACCCTCTCATATGGGGTGGGCCTATTGATGGCACAAATGTGTCCTGCCATCCCCCGTGCACATACGTCATTCCTCCCACTGTCTTACCTACGCCGACTACGTTTGTCTATCCTCCTCTACCTACTACTGTCGGGGTCGGGTATCCGATTAGCACGTCTTATGTGTACCTGGGGAAGACTATCACAACGACCTCGTGGTTCACGACGAGCACCACTACGACAATTAGCATCCCCGAAGTAGTGGGTACCACCATTTCGTTCTGGAACGTCCCTATCGGGCCCAGCGTTACCTCGTCGGTCATCACCCCATCTCCCAGTGTGATTCAAACGGCATTCAATATTACCTGGCCCAGCTTCACTCAGAACACGAAAACATTCCCCGCAACGGTGGTGCCTTTCTATCCGCCCCCATGGCCAGGCTCCTCAGTCAATCCCAGTCTGACCCCAACAGGAAGCTCCCCGACCACCAGCGAGAGGGGGGATGCCACCAAAACTACTACGGGTGGCAGCCATGCGACTAGTGGTAGCGGTGGAGATGATGATGATGACGGCAGCCACAATGACCATCATCATCGCCATCCTATCACGCACCACATCGGGCCCGCCAAGCCGAAGTGCACATCCAACCCCAAGCTTTGTGGTGTTTCATGTAATGAAGGTATTGGTGGCCTGCTAAATAGAGTTTTCCATGTCTGCCATCCCTGTTGGCAAGGCTGTGGTGGTTCGGACTGTGCGTAAAATCCTCCTCTTCTTGTCGTGAGTCCACCTCGGCAACTAACAGACGACAGCTCCGAACAACTTCCCCAATGATCCCAATAGTCCCGATCCCGGCACTCCAGACGATCCCAACAATCCTAGCGGCCCTTCCTCTACCAGCTCACAATGTTCAACAGCCACCTATAGCTCTTGCAACACGGCTTGTGTCACAGCTGCCTCTACCAGCTCCTGTACATCCACGTGTAAAGGTAACAAGAGGCCCTCTCCCTCATTTCTATTCCTGAATATATCGGAGACTGGTAACTAATGTGCATAGATATCGTCGGCTGTGACACGACAGGCACTTCAACGCTGGGCACGTATACGCTGGCGCCTATTATGACTGGAGTCCCTGAGCCATGGTACGACTATGCCGACAACGAACCCACAGACGCTGCAGGTGACTGGGCAGCCGGTGCTTCCATCTACCGATCTCTAGGGGAAGCTGCTGACCCCACGAGCGGAGTAAGCAAGACTACGATGACGACTACTCAACAGCCGACCACGACCAAGGCCCCGCCCACACCCTCGCCGACCTCGGTCTTCGCTGTCTTTGCCCAGGAGATCCAGGCCGTGGCCCACGGTGGTGGAGGTTCCCAAATTGCCTGGGCCTGGCAAGGGATGCTTCTACCATATCCTAAATGGTACGAAGAGGCGTGTAATTTCAAAGAGTACAGGGTTGTCGACGGGGGTTTCTTCTCCAAGGGTCAAAAGTACCCATCCTCACTCGGCACCTTCTCGCTGGGCAGCTATAAGAACTGCAAATATACGGGCTCGAAGGATAGTGTGGGGGAGGTCAATTGTGACGGTGGAGTGACGCTGTCCTGTACGGGGATTGATAAGTCTCACGCCACGCCAAACTCCCCGTCTGTGGACTGTGAGAAGGTTGATGACCCTGAAGTAGGGATCGCGAAGAACCAGCTCTACTTGCAGCTTTATTGTCCTGTTGTATGAGCTGTACGTTATTTTACTCTTGGTGGTGGTTTATTATATATTATCGATGGGGATTCTTGTACTATAATAATTCAAACGATTGCATTGTTGCTTCGATGTCCCTTTCATCTCCATACACATCCCAATAGATGAACAGTTGTTGGCCTACACATTCTAGTTATGTAGGTCTAGCATGAAATATTTCTTAGCGTCTCGGATACATATCGAATAGCACGGATATCAATACTGGAACGTACATACAACCCGTAAAGATGCTGAAGGTGTGCAGATAGGTCGACACCACTCGAGATAGATAGCTTGCCGTGCATATCTAGCCTTGTAAACAGGTGACAGCAACTACGTACAACTATCACCCACTTCCCTAGTCTCCATTGGAGCTTCTTTAGAAAAGGTAAATCTTGTACTGCGATCCAATTATCCAGAAGCGCAATCCTCCGCGCACGAACTTTGTAAATGACAAAAGGTATATATCTCTCCCCTTCTCACGACTCGTGGACCTCAGAGCCATCAGTAGTGAGTTAAAACATCTATACGAGCGACCCGAACATTCATTTCTATTAGCTTTGTCCTTGTTTTTCCTCTTTCTATCATGATTCTCAATTCAAACTGGCCATTTCTACTCACTTCCACAAGTGCATCAGATACGAGGTATTTCTATGAAGATGAAGCAATGCAATTTACTTAATCGTTTCAGTAGATACATATATAGCCATAGGTTTGGTCCCTTCCCCGTTTCCTTAGCAAGTACCCGAACATCTCGAGCGAGCACCCGTTGGCTGATGTCGACGGACCTTGGGCGAGCTTGAGATAAGTATGTTGGCCCATTCAGCTGTGCCCCATAATCTTCCTCGGTTCGTACAAGTCATCAATACTCTTGATCTCCTCTTCGCTGAGCTTGAAATCAATAGACTGAATAGCCTCGTCTACTCGCTCCTTTTTGCTCATTCCAACGATCGGCGAGGTAATGAAGGGCTTCGACAACACCCAAGCAAGCGCAACCGTAGCCATTGAAACCCCACGATTAGCCGCAATCTCCTCAATCTTCTCATTAATCCTCTTATCCGCGTCACTGAGAGCGTTACCGAAGAACCCCCCTTTCATCGACTCCCCACGAGCAGTGCTGCTGCTCTTCCACGGCCTTGCCAAAAGCCCCATAGCAATAGGGCTCCAGGGAATACAGCCCATGCCGAACTTTTCTAGAGCCGGGAACATCTCTCGCTCTTCCTCGCGATAGCTAGCATTATACAAATTCTGCATGGTGATAAACTCCGTCCACCCATTCATACGGGCCGTGTACTGATACTCCAGCAGCTGGTGCGCGAACATCGACGAAGCACCAATATACCGGACTTTGCCGGACTTGACGACATCGTGGAGCGCCTCCATCGTCTCCTTGGGCGACGTGTTGGGGTCAAAGCGATGGATCTGCAACAGGTCGACGTACGGCAGATCGAGCCTCTTCAAACTTGCATCGATGCTGTCGAAGATATGTTTGCGACTTAGTCCATACTGGTTCAGGTATCCGTTGTTATCCCGCTCCTCGTGGGACATGCCGAGTGCTCTCACTGAGTCCCGTCCGACAGGCGCCCACACCTTGGTGGCGATGACGATGCTCTCGCGGCTCCAGTTGTACTGTTTGATCGCCTTTCCGAGAATGACCTCCGACTCGCCGTTGGAGTAGACATTGGCCGTGTCGTAGAAGTTGAGGCCCGACCGGTAGCAGTGGTCAAGCACGGGGAGGGCTTCTTCTTCCGGGATCGTCCATTCCAAGGGCTTTCCCGGGGTGCCGAAGCTCATGCAGCCCACACAGATGGGGGAGACTTTGAGTCCGCTGGTTCCGAGGCGTACGTACTTCATGGTGGCTGGATTGATCCTGGGTGAAGGTTGCTTGAAGCTGGATGCATGCTGAGGATGGATGCTACTTGGCTATATAAGTAGCCACCGGGGCCGGAGATAGGTGGGGTTAAGTGATGTGGTAGTGGCTTATATCCGATTGCGTTGGCACTATAGCCTAGAAATGTGGATCTTCTGGCTTCCCCTCTTGCTCCGTTACTAACGAAGTCATTGATCGACATTTTCCATCGATACGTGTGTTCGGATGCCTAGGCGACTGGTTGCGGGTCGAGGTAGACCAATGACACCAGGAGTAATTACTAGAGCCCAATCACTGGAATTTACTATGTTCTGCTACTTGTTACTATGTGTAATGTACTCTATTTGTCATAAGGTGCGGCCGGATGTTCTGGAAGTCATCTATCTCAAAGTCCGTGCATAGCCGCATGGCGTATACGAGGGTTGCCTGTAGCTCAACAAATAGAGTCAGAATTCTCCGTCAAATACACTCCACAGTGACATAGTGACCAATAGAAGACATTCATCACAGGTCCTTCATGTCACGATCCTGGCAGATCTGGTTAAAATGGGGTTATCGCGTACTAGTCCTTATCCTATCCTCCCTATGCACCCAAATGCACCATCAATATAAATACACAGACAGCAACCCCTGTATAACCAGCCATCACCAAGACAACATAACAAAACATGCCATTTTATCAAACTCCCAAATACTTGTCATATATACAGGTGCCCTAGCAGTTTTACTCCGCTCAGCGCCTCCCCGGCTATGGTGAATTGCGAATAAGAGAAGATACAAAGGAAACATGTTTACTGGCGTTTTGTATACACCAGTACGGATTACACAAATTCATTTCAACACGAGAAACAAATCCAGTTGTCTATGACAGGGAATATATAACTTAAATAATGTACATGTGAGCGAGCTCCGAGGGTAGCAAGTTTCAGTAGACCTTTTGTCTTTTACTAGAGACACGCTCCATATGTCTCTCCACAGTACAGGCCTCCTCATCTCCGCGTCTATCACAACACTCATAGATATAACCCTCTGGGTACTCCTCGAGCATCTCCCCATGGTCATACTCGCCATTATTGTAGTAATCATCATCCACGAAGAAGTCTCCATCAGGGTAGCAGCTATCTGCGGTAGAAACTTCAGCCTTGAACAGCACCAAAATCGCGGAAAAGACAACCTAGCAGCTCGAAAGGAAAAAGGCAACAGCAAGGCAACAGCCTACGAACCTGGATGGTATTTGCAGCTTGTGCTTGTATTTTGTGTGACGTCAAACTCTTGTTCGCAGTTTTCGCAATACGCATAACGCTGTCGAAGTCGCTTGGAGCCTGGAGTTTGCTGGTTCGAGTTTCTTTCTTTGGGGTGTGATTGTTCGTCTTCGGATTGCTCCACGTCCGAATTCACACATTCCTCGTCATCTTCTTCAGATGAAGGTGAAGGGGGCCGGACTTGGTCTTCGGTAATGAGAAGTGACTTGGACACTCGGTCCCTGGTGGATTGATCGCTTCGACACACTGCCTTTAGAATTGACTGGAGGGTACCGCGGGAGGCCGAGTCAATAGCCTCCAGAAGCAATTCGAATTGTTCGTCTTGTTGAGACATCTCTTGCACCGAAGGACCCATGATGGGGGGAGTATGAATGTAGGATCAAAGTGGTAATTTCCTTTGCTGGCTCAATTCTGAAATAGTTGGTTGTTTGTTTGTCTGCGCGACGCGACGCGACAGGCGAATTTATCAGTGCACTGAATACCCCGTTAGTTGAGACCTTGTTATGAGCAATCTGGCTTTCTAAATTGCTTATATCAAAGGACTTCTTATCCTGAATTCCTTATAAAAGCTTGAGTGCAGAATATAGATATCGCAAATTTAGCATATTGCCCTAGATGGGGATTTGAACTAATTTTGAAGTATTTAAGTAGGGATTAAATCACATATTGTGTTAAATGCTTGTTGCAACTAACGGGGTTTTTACCCCGTCAGTTGAGATAGCCGCCACGGTGGCCGCTTTGGTTTTCCATACTGTGAAAACCCGCAGTATGCAACCCCGATATGAAGAACAGCAGCATTTGTCAGGGGAACGGAAAGCCCACCCCTTCTTTTTACGTAAAGGGATCATAGTATCAACTTCTCCAGACTAAAGTGTTGGAGAACTCCATGATCGCCAGCAGGGAAGGCGTGACCACTCACACAACGAACAACCGCTGTAGTGCAGCAATTCTACCTGACTCTTCAACGCCCAAGCCACATCTGAATAGCGGCACCAACAGGCAGTCACGGGTGCTAGATAATAGGATCAGTTTGCTTTGTAACTCCTACGAATTCAAAGTTTCCTTCACCTACAAAATATTCCAAGATCCCAGTAAACATAATACCATACTTCGCCTACAGTGCTGCCCCGATGGTCCAAAGCACAGGGAGAGCCTTTACAGAAGGTAGCCCTGGTGAAAGAAAGCTCTCATTGAGGTACGAGATACACGGCGAACCTTGGACAAAGACGCCCTTGCCAGAATCCATAAATGTTATTTGGGTTCCATATAGAGGGCCATGCCTAGCGTGTGAGTCCGATAAACCCAATGCCTATTATACAGACAGTATGTACAAAGAAAAAGAGCATAGCTCGGTGATATCTACCCAACTGTACCGGAAAACCCATGATCAATGGGAATACAGGCACCATTGATAAGCCTGCTCCCCTTGCCAGATATCATCGAGACGCACACTTCCGCAACCTCATCGATCTCACATAGGGGCGACCCTACGGACCCCATAACGCCAATCACTTTCGCCTTCCCCTCTTCATTGACACCTGCCATAAATGCCTCGGTGATATTGGTTGCCATGCCACCAATCATTAGCGCATTGCACCGGATACCCTTGTTCCCGTAGAACGCGGCGGTATTTTTCGTTAAACCAACCAAGCCATGCTTACTCGCAGTGTATGCAGCACCTAGACGTTCGTTAGCGTTACCAACAGGCAGTAATAGGGCGAGATTAAATACCAGCTGTCCAACCAGCCTTGCCCGCCAACGACACAATGTTCATGATATAACCATCTGGGTTCGGCTGCTCCAGCATATTACGAACAGCCAGTCTGCTCAGTAGAAAAGGTGCCGTTAGATTGACAGCCATGACCCGATCCCACACCGCCTCATCTAAATTCCCAACAGGATCAAAACGGTCCATGATCCCAGCATTGTTTATCAGAATATCCAGTTTCCCAAACTCGGAAATGATTGTGTCAAACAGGCCCTGCACTGCAACGGCAGATGTAATATCTGCATTCACTGCTTTGAACGGGCCTTTCACTGAAAGCTCTGCAGAGGTCTGTTGAAGCCGTTCGTCATTGATATCACAGATGACCACGTTGGCTCCGGCCTCAAGAAATTTTGTTGCAATGGCTTTGCCCAGCCCGCCGGCTCCACCGGTCACAAGGCAGGTTTTACCGGATAAAGTAGCCATGATGATCTTAAATAGGTGAGACGAGTTGTTATATGCCTGTCATGCTGGAAAACCTAGGAGAAGGTGGGATCTCCATCTTTTATATGACTGACCCCTTAAACGATATTCGTATACGGATACGACACGGATATACTTTCACTTGGCGTAAGCTCGTCTTTCGGCAATAGGCCACCCAACCTGTGCCGTGTAGCGTACGTGGACCATGTTTTGATAACAGTCTCCAGCCAAGGCTGCTGGTTGGCTAATTTCAACATTGTGGAGAACCCGGCTGTCGTATTTGCGTATTCATTTCCTGGGAGTTGATACCTCAGGCAGACATATAGTGATTCCCACAACCCTAGAATCGGCAAGTGACAAGGAGAAAGAGTTAATGTCGCTTACGGAAGGGCTATTCAATTTTTTAATTAAGGGATATCTGAGAAATGACCATTGGGTGTTGCGAAGAATAGTGAATTATTTTCCCATGCCTATGTCCATGTAAGGGTTCACTATTTGTGACAGCGAAAATTCCATTATTCCTTGTGTCTGTTAATGGTTGAAGCACTGTGTCAAGCTCTCAGGGATTCTGAACGGCATTGTCTATATAAACCCCCTTATCAGTCTCCTACCACAGGCTCTGAATTTCGCCAAGGCAACCTTTCCATCAGTCTCGCCCCTTCGGACCTTTCCATAGTATATATGGCTTCCTCTCTGCGTCCTCCTTTTACCTGGGTCCCAGAGACCATCGAGACACCGACTCTACACAGTACTACAATGTCGACAGAGCAGGGTGTATACATGAAATTATCGACTTCCGCTTCATACCAGGTTTATACATCCAACTTTTAGTACAGCGAATCCTCCTAGAATAGGTGAAATATCGCTGTACTTTCAGTATAGCTCATTACGCCCTCCAGGCTTTTGTTATCAAATCATAATCAGTATTTAGGATACACTTCTGACTCCAGAGTAGAAGATGGCAAGACATATGCTGCAACAGTCGCTACGATATTTACTAAGAAACCGATGGACTACAGCATTCAGCTTTAGGCTTTAGGAGAAACAGCCAAGAACATTCAGCGCTTAATAAAGGAACACCAAGCTTAAAAGACCAGCAAGAATGAGGAACATACATAACAAGATAACATTTTTCATTTGAATATCTTTGTCTCTACCCTTGCATCCAACCACACATCTGAGTGGTGAGCCGTTATTCTTTGTTCTAGCAAAGGTATCCAGCTACCCCAAAACAACCAAAGCTTTATATGGCAACGAGAGGATTTCTACCCCATCGGCCAAGTGCCGGTTGGGAGAATGTGGAATACGTTTGCCATCTGAAACGTCGACGTAAAAGAGCCCGTGAGGAACTTGCTACGCTCCTTCACTCATCATTAAAGTTCATATCTCAGTCCTGAACTATAAGAGGCAGGTTTCTAGAACAATACTAGAACTGGAATCCAGAATTAGAACACTGCAGTATGGTTACCCTTTGCGGCTGTCGCAAAATACATGACTGCCAATGAGAGGATATGGCTTCCTGGGAAATAAGGCAGCGGCCTTGCAGCTATCAAGACAGCCGCAAGCACAAAAGAGAGGGTACTGGATTTCTGTTTTTATCAGACATGGGTACCTATTTACCTGCCTATATTCTCACCCACCATGGGCTTCCTTCGGTCCACATTGAACGCGTCCCAGTCTTCATGTTCTGAGTTCTTGTCAGTTGAATTCGAATCGGAGCATCTTCTTGCACGCCTGGGGAAGGAAGTGAAAAGGTAGCTATCCACTACCAATGAGAGCGTACGGAAGTGTTTGGCACGCCGTCAGTCAGACCAAACTCGGGATCAGTACCTTGTCTTCACAACTGCTCCCCCGGTGCACTCTTCCAGACTGAGGAATGATCGATCGTGAACAAGCAAGTGCTTATTTAAGCCCAATCTTCCTTGGTTTTAGCAGATATTTTCTTATCATCATGTCGTCCCACTGGCAAGAGGTAATCAATGCTCTCAATAATGGTTCTCTCGACTACCCAGTATGCCGCAATGATCTCTACTGTCTTGACACCGTCTAGGATAAGGCAGTTGAAGCCCCTTCTAGTAGAGCTAGGGCAGATATACTTGATCTCGGAGCATATGATACTACAGGACGGTACTATAATGCACTTAAGAATTATTTAGCAGTTAATAGAAAGTATACTCTAGTCTTGCCCATCTAGAAGATAAAAGTAATGTTGCTAAGGCTTTTAACATCCCAGAGCCTTTAAGTTATATTTAACAGATTTATGTAACTAAACCTATGGGATCGGGTAGGCCATGGACACGCGGCCTAGATTCGTGTCCCCAGTTGACTTGATCCTGGCCTCAAGGACGTCTTTGATGGTCCAGATGGGTTCATGGACCGGCTTCCTGGTTTCAAGGCCACCTAGTATTACGTTGGCATTTCCTCATGGCGAGCAACCTGGACAGTGGACTGCATATAATGTGTTGTATGTGACTTCAGGCTGGCCGCTAAACTACGAAATAGGTCATTGCATAGGGCTATTTTATGCAAGGTTAGGTAACTTCTTCCGGTCACGTAACTACATCTTTGCTAGGTCATACACCTTAAGACAGCTCAGACCTATGTTGTCGTTATTGAACCTGCCTTCAACAACCAGATCTAATGGCCTAATAGGAAGGCATCTAACCACGGATCAAAAGATTACGCATTCATCAACTAGACAAATCCAGGACAACTTTCCCTTGCAAAGTGCCTTTCTCCATTTCCTCGAAAACACCAGTCAATGTGTCCATCGTCTCAGTGCGGACATGTGCCTTGATGATGCCGCGGGCGGCAAACTCCAACGTTTCGATCGTCTCGCGCCGGTTACCAACCGTGGACCCAGTGATAGTGTAGTGCTTTCCAATCATGGTGGCCGGGAATGCACTGGCGATGGGCTTGGGCTCGTTCTCGGGGACGCCTACGCACACGAGAGTACCGTTAAAGCGCAGGAACTGGAGTGCCTGGGCATATGCAGCATTGGAGGAAGTGCACACCACGGCGGCGTGGACGCCCAGTCCACCGGTCAGCGACTTCACGTGGGAGGAGATGGCCGCGCCGTCATCGTCCACGGGAAATCTGGCGATGTTGACAAAGTGCTCGGCGCCCGATGCCTTGGCCAGTTCTTCTTTATTGCCGTAGTCGATACCGATTACCCGCAGCCCCATGCCCTTGCAGGCCAGCTGCACAGCGATGTGGCCCAGGCCACCGCCCGCACCGGAAATGGCGATCCACTGGCCTGGGCGAGCGTTACTGCGCTTCAGTGCCGAGTAGGCGGTGACGCCCGCGCAGAGCATGGGCGCGGCCTCATCAGACGCTAGCTCGTCAGGGATCGGGGTCACGTAGTTTGCCGGGCCCAGTGTGTACTGCTGGAACGTGCCAGCAGCGTAGTACCCCGAGACTTTCTGGGAGAAGCAGAGGGCGTCAGAGCCAGCTTCGCAGGGCTCTAAGGGATCGGTGAGTTCTATGTGAGCGGCGTTCACCCAGGGAGGCTGATGGACGTACCGCAGTTTCCACAGGCGCTGGCAACCCACTTGATGCCAACTCTGTCTCCGATCTTCAGACCAGAGGTCTCAGCCCCGGGGCCGAATTTCACCACCTTTCCAACGCCCTCATGGCCACCGATCTGGCCCGGCTGAGTGGGATAGGGGAGCATTTTCCACTAATAATGACGTTGGTTAGATTATTTGGATTCACGCTGAAATAGGGAGCACGAACCTTGTTCGACATGATGCCATAGTCTGAGTGACACACTCCAGAATGGGTCCTACAGGTTGTTATTACCAGTTAGGAACGTCTCGGTTTGAGGTGTGACGGTTGGCTCATACAGATTGATCAACACTTCGCCCGGGCCGGGCTCAGGGACGTCGATCTCGACAACCTTGGTGGAAACAGTACCAGGTTTATCATAGATTACGGCCTTTTGCCTCAGAGGGATATCAGGAGCAGCCATCTGGAAGAACGTGAACTTTTGTCCGAGCCTACGATGAATGCGGTTCTTGGATGCCCGTAGTGAAGTAGTAGGTCAAGAGAATAGGGGAAGCCTTGAGAGATATTCCATGACTGATTCTGGTCAGTAGTCCGTCTTTTTACCCCTGGAATGGTCTTCGTGAGATACCAAACCCAAATAATCGCAGAGGCCTAGGACGATCGCTAATGACCCATGCCATGAGGATCCAACGTAGCCAGTAAGATGGTTCTGCACAAAAAGAATATTTTAATACACACCACACCTATTCTTGTGTCTGGAAGTTGTTTTCATGTGCTGTAATAATGTAGCGCCGTTTCCCTTCTAGCAAGGCAGATCACCTTTCCCTTGCAGTCGCCCATGGTCTTAGCTGGAAGTGAGGGAGGGGACTTGCATTGAGAATCTTGGTATTTGGCCTTATACTGGCGCAATACTGTCTTGTCACACTCAACACCCCACTGTGTTGACGCGGGGGGAGTGCATACACAGCGTAGAGATGTCAACTGGGGAGGATGTTGAGGTCACAAGAGGGGGCCCTGAAGTACATGCCGGACACGTAGAAGGGCATGCAGTAGCATAGAATGAAGAATTTTTGCATATCACCTGATAGCGGATTTAGGTTCCGACCCTACATATGATGTATCAATGCAGTGAACCATCTGGATTGCTATAGTTTCCCTGTAAGATACAAAAGCGGGTATATTTATGATCCCTGGACCAAGAGATGAGACCCCAGTTTTTGTTCCTTCATTCTTGGTAGATTCTCGAATAATTTGAGCGGTGGACCAAGTTCTGTTGCTTCAAGATGGGCTCTTCTCTATTTCTCGTTGCCATCTCTCTGGGGACGATTTGTATTCTTGCTTATAAACTATCGCATCCTAGACGCCAGCTGTCTTTGCCACCTGGACCCAGAAAGCTTCCACTGATTGGCAATCTGCACCAGCTGGATGTTAAAAAACCATGGGAGACGTTCCACAAATGGCACCAGCAATATGGCCCACTCGTCGCTCAAATTCGGAGCACGGACCATAATCAGCATCAGCTCCGATCGAGTGGCTCGTGACATGTTGAACAAGCGGTGTGCCACGTACAGTTCGCGCCCAAGACTCTCCATCAGTTCAGAGGATAATGCAGGAGAGCTCAATGCGGTCGTCATGCCCCACTCTAAACGCTGGGTACTTCATCACCGTATTGCATTGGCTCTGCTCAATCCCGGCCTGTCAAAGCAATATCGTCAGCTGCAAGATCTGGAGAGTAAGCAAGTCATTTACGACTTACTTCGAGGTAACGATGTAGCGCACTCCTTTGACCGGTATATGGCAAGTGTTAGCTTCACACTTGCATATGGACTCCAATTGCAGCGACATGATCAGCATGAAGTTATTCAACTACGAAACTTCATTAATGGTCTCCGGGAAGCCATGTCCAATATGTTTGTTGCTCTTGCTGAACTGTTCCCAATCCTGGATCGCCTTCCGCGAGTATTTGCTGTTTGGAAACGACAAGGGGAGGAACTCAACCGACAAGCAACTGCCTTCTTCTTAGACAATTCAACGAAGGCTCAGTCAGCACCTGGGTGGAACTGGGTGAGGGAATGTGAACGACTAAAGGAAACACAGAACATGTCACTGAGAGAGAGAGCGCATGTCTTGGGCACTATTCAGGAGGCAGGCATGGAGACGACTCCCAGTGTTTTCCGAGTGGTTATTAAAGCATGCCTTCTGTATCCGAGGTGTTTGTCCCGAGCCCAGGAGGAAATTGATCAAGTCGTTGGCACTAGTCGGCTGCCGTCGTTTGATGACATGAGCCAGTTGCCCTATATCCACGCGCTCATTCATGAGGCAGTGAGGTGGCAACCACTTACCCCGTTAGGATTGCCTCATTCCCCAATGAGAGATGACGAATTTATGGGGTACCATATTCCTGCAGGGTCCACCATTTTCCCCAATAACCACTCAATGGCCAATGACCCTGAAGTATTTCCAGAACCCCTCGAATTTAAACCAGAGAGATGGCTTGAGAACCTCGGTCCTCCCTTCAGCCCGTTTGGGTATGGTCGACGAATTTGCCCAGGCAGGCATCATGCTTTGGATAGTCTCTTTATCGTTATCTCTCGTGTCATTTGGGCATACAACATCACCCATGCCTACCGGGATGGCAAAAGAGTTGATGTAGATGCTTGGGATAGCCATAACTCCTTTACCTCTTCACCAGCCCCATTTCCGACAGTACTCCGGGTCCTCAGTCTAGCGCATCAGCAAGTCATAGAGGAGGCTTGTTCATCTGCGAAAGAGAAACTGGCTACATTCTTAGAGACTTTCAACCCAACATCTGGTGGATAGGCGCTCTGAAGAGTTCTGTATCATGCGTCTCTCTGCATAGTATATGTACATCTTTTGACAGGGTTTGCTCCAGAGGCTAGTTTACGTTTAAGGGCTTGCACAAGTGCAGGTTTTGTTGGATCTCACTTTTATCTTTCGGGTTGAACAGTCTCAAGACTTACAAGGCGTAGTTAAGACAAAGTAGCCGAATAATTCTATGGTACGCTGCTAAATTCTCCAAGGGTCGAGTTCTAGCCTCTTGCAACTTTCATTACAGATTATCCCATGTAGACGAGGTTTCGCAGAATACTTAGAGAGTTTTACTGCATGAATATTTACGCAATCCGCCTTTTAGGCAAGCAGATGGATGTAAAACTAATTTGGGGGCCTGCAGATAGGTGTCTTCAGCGAAAGAAGCCAAAAGAAAAAAGGCCGCTGAGAGCGTATTTTCGGGGAAGTGGGAAAGACACAACCCACAAGGGAGATTGAGGAGCCGAGTTAAACTTGACAGTACGTATTCACAAAACAATTGCATACGTTACTCTTTCAAAGCTAATTACCGAGTGGATAAGGATATCTAACGCGATGAAGCCCCCAAATAGGGACCCAGAGAACTGCGGTGTCGCTTGCACGCATGACGACAGCATCAAAGCCCCTTACCTTCGATGAAACACATTGGCGAAGTCAAAACTTTGAGCAAGGGGATGATGGTAGCTGACCGGATAAGAGCATTTGCCACATTATGGTTTAGACCTGATAAGTTAACCGATGTATGCTAGTTCCATACAACTATAGTATAGTCGACCTAGCTGATGAACAATATGACAAGTCCGGGATGTGTAATTCTGTGCAGATATTGGAATAAACAGAGAGACCAATACCCTAAAAATAGCCGGAAAATGGTTGGGCATGTGTCAATGATAGATTTAAATATAAGTTGGTAATTATACAGAACTCTCTAATTGCCTAGCGGGATTTTTAGTGGTGAGGTGATTGCTTGTGTCTGTCTTCAACCCCCTTGCCTATGCTACATATATACTTTCAGTGTACCCTATTTGGATTCTGGAACTGTTCGATGCTCTGATGAAATACAACAATAATACACACTGTTCCCAGGCCGAGCATACCTAAAGAATTGTTATTCTCATGCTGAATACCACTTGTCTCTTATCACTTGGAGCCAAATTACGTCAACCGCCTGACAAGTATTGGAAATGCAAAAGTTCTGTAAATGTTAAACTCATCACAAAACGGGCTGCAGTACAGCCGGCCAATATGACTTGGGAGGATTGGATTGGGCGTCTAGATTACTTGATTTGACTAACTTCTATATTACAAGAACGATATGGCCAAATCTTTGCTCGGATATTCATACATAGCAAAATCCCATTCTTGTATACGATTGAAAATGCAATGGAGAACAGGTGATAACAAGCCCTTTGACTGATAGTAGACTAGCTCTGACCACGCCTCCGAAGGAAGCCGTCAAGGTCAAGATGACTGCTAGTTTAAGCGCGTGGCGTCAATTTGATCAGAAGAGGCGGTTTGTCCCAGATGATATAAGCACGTTGATCAGCCCAGTTGAAGCACTCGGGCAATAACTCCAGGTCAAATTGCCAGATCAATCGTGCAAGGATCAGGCTTGCCTCCGCATAGGCCAGACTGCAGGACTGAATCAGCTTTCTAACCGGATCGATCAATAGTGAGTGGTGACTAACCTCCTTCCCGGACACGCTCGTGGTCCCACGGAAAATGGTTGCATGGCAGCCTTGACGTCTTCAGCTCCTTGACCAGGTCCTAGCCAGCGTTCCGGAAGAAACAGCTGGGGATCCTTGAAGTTGGACGAGGACTGGTAGGCCGCCCACGAAGCAACGGCAACAGATGTCTGGGCAGCTCGGTTATCGTTCAGTCTGTGTCCTTACCATGGATAGAGATATTTCATACCTTTTCGGGCACGAACTGCCCTGACACCATAGCGCCCCCACGCGGTACAAGGCGCGGCATACCGAGCGGCAGAGGTGGGTACATGCGCAATGTCTCTTGTAGCACGGCTCGTAAGTATGATATACTCGATAGCGACGAGAAAGTTATCTCTGATGGAGAGGAAAAACGATGTCGGATTTGGAAAGAAATTTCCTTGTATATCTCCGGATCCTTCAGAACGAAGAATGTGCACCCGGATAAAAGGGTGGCCGTCGTTTCACTGCCGGCCATCATCATGAAACTATGGTTAGATAGAATTTCCTCTTCGGAAAGCGTTGATCGAGGGTCTTTACTGGCCCGGATATAAGTACTAAAAGTAGGTTGATCTAATTCAGACACCTTCCCCTTATCAACCTTTGAGGCGATAGAAGTGAGCTTCGTGGTCCGATGATGGAGCAGATCGCGACAAAATAAAAGCACTGCAGCTTTGATTATCCAAGAAAGACCCGGGAAATACTTAGATTGGCTAAGAAAGGCCCACGCTTTGATCGACCCGAAAAGCATGTCTACCCAGGGGTGATACGTCCCCTGTTCAAGGCATCCCAATGACTCGCCGAATAGCTCGAGGGACATGAAGTCAAACATCACGTAGTTATACCATTCTGTCATGTCGACGGCGTGATCCCTTTCCTCTGTGATTAATTGTTGCAGCTTTTGCATAAGGGTGTCGACAAAGGGGCGTAGAAGACGCTCATGAGATTTCAGGGCAGGTTCCGAAAAAGCCCGTAGAATAGCTCGCTTCTGCCGACCATGGACAGGATCCGGAGCGACCACAACACTTGGAGCCTTTGCTTTGGACACATGGTAAAATCGCATGTCCTTGGAGAAGTTCCGCGAGGGGCCGTGAATGTCTCTCCACGCTTGCTCGTTCCGGTAGCTCAATTCGTCCGGAGCAACACGGACAACGTCCCCATACTGATCATGGAGGTGCTGTACCCACCTATGGAGATTGCCACGCGCATAGGCTGCTGCATAAGGGATTCTGGAGACCCCCCAGACGAATGGGCCAGGATAGCGGCTCAGAGGGTGAAAATATCGATTATATACTATTCTCCATGCCAGAAACAGAAGAGCCTACCAACCAACCCACCGCAGTCAGGCTTTTGGAAAGCTTTTGAAACCTGACTTGGAAAAACTTACTAAAAGAAATCCGGTGTAAATGTTGTAGAAAAGGTCCATTGCGTTCGTGGGAGGAACACACCAGATGTGCCCAACAACGACTTTGTCGCTGTCAGGAGCGTGAGACCCTCGATGTACCAAGCAGACGAGTACGCGGAATAGTGGTCTTTAAGGTTTACACTGACGGCGAAGGGTTGCTCACCGTATTTTATACCTTGCCTCTGTACTCTGCGGAGTCTAAATCGTGCATGACGCTTATACGCGTCAAACCCTTATTGAGATCTTCCTGTACACTCCCTGTACACTCTAGAGTCGATTGAAGAGTTCATCTTACATTCTTCAATGCTTAATACAGACGGTCAGCAAAAACGAACCGAAAAATAGAGTTAATGCAGCATTCCCTTGCACAGTCTCTGTTTGTACTCAACAACCCCATAACGGTATTGCTTCTCGCAGATGTTAAGTTCCATTGAATTTTCTGCAGACTGTCTGAGCTATGTGAAGCCACATGACGCCTCCCTAGACACTCTTTCGCTCGCTACTAGATCTCTCTCCCTCCAACCACCCTACTAGCGGGCCCTACTTGCTGCACGGCTTGGTATATTTGCCGGCGTTTTGTGATTCTCATGAACGAAGCAGAGCTCCAGCGCAATTGTGTCCGCTAGGATCGTCCCCGTCCCATGACTTGAGGAACGTTTAAGTCCGCACTATCATTGTAGCGCATTCACACTATTGGATCTTCAAGCGACGGCATCATTAGCAAGCGCCACAGGACGTGGCTCCACGAATCAATCTATAACGTTTCAAGGTAATGTGGGAGCTCCCATAGCCAACTCTTACAGCTTCCTTGCTCGGCCAGCCAATAGTGGTCCGTACAAGGCAAGATATATCGGGAAGCGATAAAAAGGAAGAACAGTTGCTGAGCATGGAAAGCCGTATTTAAGGCCCAGTTGCCCTAGATTTGAAGGGATAAGCTACTCCGTGTTGTGGTACTTGTCTTTCTATCCCGTTTCTCAGGAATATTGCATCCTCCTTGAAGATCACATATCTACGAATCATTATTACTTTGTATTTCATTGAAGCTTCCGGTCCAGAAATTCTTCTACGATCTTCTGTCACCTCGAATACGCCCACCAGTCCTAGCTGTCTTTGTTTCAGTACCTGAAGATACAATGGCCCCTCTTGGCGTCACTACTAGATCGGCCACTATCCTGGTGGACCTCGGGGGTATCTTTATGCATCCCAAAGTGGAGCACAAACTAAAGACTCATGAATCCACCATCTCCTTGCGGAGAATCATGTCGACCTCAGCCTGGATGAACTATGAAACAGGACATTTAACTGATAAGGAATGTTTTGAGCAGCTAGCCAAGGAATATCACTTTCAGGTGACTGAGCTGGACGAGATGATCCATACTTTCCGCGAGACCATCACCTATGAACAAGCTGCTGCTTCCATTTTCAAGGAGATTAAACGGACAGGGGTGCGTATTTTCCTAGTATCTAACATCTCTCACGAAGACTACGCAGCACTCCGCCGGCGGTGGGACGATGGATTCTGGTCTATCTTTGATGGCATTTTCACCTCGGCGGCCTTGGGCGTCCGAAAGCCCAGTTTACGTTTCTATCGGCACGTCCTACGGGCCACAAGGGCAATTCCTCGTGAGACCTTCTTCCTGGACGACCGGGCCGAGAACGTACTGGCGGCAATCTCTCTAGGAATGAGAGGAACATTTGACACCTCAGCGCTATATCGGACACTCACTAATGTTATCGGCGATCCTGTGACACGTGGACTAGCGTTTTTGCGACTTCAGAAAGGGTATTTTCCTACAACTACCCAGCATAACGAGACGATCGACGAAAACTACGCGCCGCTTCTCATCCTCGAAGCGTTAGGTGACCCGCATGTCTCTCTTCCACATCACTACTCACAGTGATGCTAACTGCTACAAACCAGGAGTCTGGTGAACCTCAAGGCCCCGCCCCGCCTCTGGAACTTCTTCAGCGGTTCCTCTTCCCTGGATCTTCTGTCACATCGTCCAAAAGTCACTGATTCACAGCATAGGCGAGCCCCAATACACGAGTGACAGCTATCCTGACGACTTGGACACCACCTCGCTCGGCCTCCTAACGATGCCTCCTGACTCGGAGATAATCCACTCCGTCCTAGATGAAATGCACAACTACATAGACGAGGACGGTATTCCGCAGGTATGTCATTCTTTCATGCCCCCAGTGGCAGCAGCCGTAACCTGTAGAAGGAAGGCCTAACTCTCCATGCTTACAGGCACACTTCGACAAATCGCGCCCACGAGTTGACGCGGTCATAGCGCTCAACGTGTTGACCCTGTTTCACAAATACGGGCGTGGCCATGAGCTCCCCCATACCGCAGAGTGGATGACCAACATCCTACTCAACAGGGCGTATGTGAAGGGGACGCGTTATTACGCAAACGCTGAGTGGTTTCTCTATTATATGACGCGTCTACTCCGTGCGTCAAGCGACCAAACGCTCAAGGATAGGCTCGAATCACCTCTTCGAGAGCGTGTTGCTGAGCGGATCGGCGCTCCCGGCGATGCATTCTGTCTCGGGATGCGACTGCTGGCGTGCAACTACCTTGGCTTGGAGAACCGCCCGGACCGCCAAACGCTTGCAGATTTGCAGCTGGAGGACGGAGGCTGGGAGGCCTCCTGTATTTACTTCTTTCCTGGCGCTAAGCGAGACGTGGGAAATCGAGGCGTCAGTACAGCGTTTGCTGTAAAGGCACTTGAGGACTGGTCTGGGTGGTGATAGATCGTATATCCATGCTGTTCAGGAGGGTTTGAGAAACTCTGAAATGAGCCATGAAAGTACAGGGGAAATTTCTGGGCACATATTAACCACACGGTATTATCCAACTACTAGAGTTTTAATTTGAAAGTATTCTATCGACCAAATATATGGAATAGAGATCAGTTGTCTAAATCTCCATTTCTTATATACGATCATGTATGGGGGAGTTATAACAGCTAGCCCTCTGCTCGTTATGTGTTTAGCGCTCCAGTTATTAAAATATCGGGGTCTTTTACTGTTAAAGATGCAAGATATTGATCTAGATAATACAGGTAGAACGTGAGAAGGACACATCCCGCCGGCTGTAAGTCAAGTAAATATTCTAATTCTAAGCCTCTCTAGAGCAATCTATCAGGCCAGACGAAGGGCACTAAAAAAGCAAAGCAAACTATGATAGAGCATGGACATGCCCTTACTGTACAGAATGTAGAATCTATCCTTTCTTAACCATATCATCACCAACCCTCTCATCACTCTCATGTGCATTCAACACACTCATGGCTTGCGGCCCAGTGAAATGCTTCCTTCCCGTTGTCATCCATGTCACAGTACTAATCAATGCAATGACTCCAATGGCTGCAGAGGTATAGTTCATGGATTCATGGGTAACAGGGTAATTGGTCGGGAAGTTAAACGTGATAGCTGCGAAGAGCAGGAAGAGTAGACCGAGGATGTTAAGGCCAATAGACATGGATTGGGGCAGGGCAAAGGGGCCTTTCATTTCTTTCTTATGACCGGTGAAGTAGCCAAGGAGACGGCTGCCTAGGGCCGTGGCGTAAGAGAGGTCTTCTATAGTTAGCACAGCATTCACAATAAAGAGACGAGAAGGTGGTAGGACTTACAGAATCCCTCAGTGGAGATAGCAATGACTGTTTCGAACCCGGTGGTTGTACCGAAGTCAATAGCATCCAGAGCAAGTTGCACGACGAGAGTAAGGATCACGGCGTTTACCGGCACATGTCTCTTGCTGTCTACCTTGGAGAAGATGTGCGAGAATGGCAGGCCGTGGTCGCGGGCGAAGGCGAACACGGAACGAGACCCCTCCGCTAGAATGTTGTTTCCGGCGACTATAACAATGATCGCGATCATGCTCGCCAAGAAGCAAGTGCCAACTTTACTTCCTGTGGAGTCGTAGATGATCTGGATTACAGGTACGCCGGTGCTTGTGTTGGCCGTGTTGGTTATATCACCGATGCAGAAGCAGAGCGTCAGGAGGAAGGCAAATCCGGTCACGGCACCGAGGACGACAGACAGGATGATGGCCTTGGGAGCTTCCTTGGAAGCTGCCTTCATTTCTTCGGTCATGTGTGATGGGGCGTCGTAGCAGCACATCCCGAAACAGGCTTGCAAAATACCTACGATGGCTGCCATTGATGATCCCCAGCCTGAGAAATTCTGGAACTCGGAGAACACAAATGATGCCGATTGCTTGTTGTCATTGGTGGCTAACAGGACAATCGTGGTTATGAGGAACGAGCCGACGTTCCAGATCAGGATAAATCGGGCGATGCGGTGCAGGAGGTGTGGCCCCCAGATATTGATTCCTGTTGACATGAATGCCACTAGATACGCCACCAAGACGGTATGCCAGCGCTCGATGGTGTAGTCAGGGAAGACAAGATTTGCCATGCCGAGTACGAAGTTGGCTGCGATGGAGTTATTTGTTGCTCCCATGGCGAGGATGCCTAGTTTGTAAATGATTATTAGTTTCAGGGGACAAGTTGATGGCAGCGTTAGGGTAGAGCAGACGTACCGATGAGCATGAACCAACCACTGATGTAAGAAAGACCTCGTGCGATACTTGGAGGCGCTAAAGCCGCAACCCACGAGTATTGGCCTCCTGCAACAGGATACATGGAGCACATTTCCGCCATTGGAATGGCAACTGCCAATGTGAGAAGGCTGACACCAATGAAACTGAACACCATAACCGGGGGGCCGCCGGATGTGACGCCGACGATGAATACACCGCTGAGAGCCGTCCATCTGCTCAAGGTTAGCGAGATCATCATTGAGTATATTGGTAATGGATTGGTTGACTGACGAAGTAACCACGCTGAAGCTGAAGCCAATCATCCCCAATAACCCAAAAGTTCGCTTGAGCTCTATGCACACATTAACAGACAAGCACACAATCAGAAATGAACAGCATACCCTGCTCATAGCCCAAATTTTCCAGACGAGCATCTTCCCCCGTTGATTCTTCAAAGACTTTCTGATCATCGTCGTCCTTCGCCATGATGCTAGTTCTTTGTGTCTCGGATAAGACTTGGAAATTCAGTACTTAGAAAAGAGGGTACAGCAGTGGGCACCAGGGACAGGCACCCCTTTTAAAAACCCCATAGCCATAGTTCAGGTCCCCCAGGAACTTCCCCGATGGCAAGGGTAACCCCATGGAGGAACCGTTGGTTCGACGATAGCCAGGCGAAGGCTTGACAGCGATAAGATAGATACCCTATCTGACTTTCCCAATCGAGAAGGTCTCCGCGACAATGGTGGAGCAGAAATTGTGGGGGAGCGAATCAGGCTTCATCTGCGGAACCAGAGATTTAGACACTCTGCGCCCTATTTGGAGCCATGGTGGCGCATATTCGTGCACAATCAGATTCAGATTGGCGGGGGTTTGCACAGTTGAGGAAATGTCAACGGAGCGGTGTCATTGTGGTACTCCGGAGTACCGATAAAAGGTCCACTCCATACGGCAGAGGTTGGAAATATGCATTTCCTAATGAAATCGATAAGTATATCTCTTAGTCCTATTAGTGCGAAATGTTATCGTCACGATTAGACTTACCGATGTTATGCGATTTGATAGCGTACTACTTCACAAAATTGAACTCATTTGATCACCGGAACCCTGACTCGAGTTTTGGGGAACCGTCACCACTATAAAATTCCAAACTTCATCACAGGATTCAAAGGGCATATTAATATGCGAGCGCGGGTTCCGAGGGCCCCGTATCCTTATCTATACGGTGAGGAGTACTGACCGCTAGAACCAAATTGGAAAGACGGAATGCTTGGCCTCTACGTTCATAAGAGAGCAACCAGCTCAGAACAAAGCCTTCATTTCTTGCATCACAGTATCATTCTACCATGTATGGGTACGGTCTCCTTCCGCTCATTGTATCCACATCTGCCGTTGCGAGGGAGATCGTGTTCCCTCCCATCGCAGCAATTCAAGGTTCCGGACAAGTTCCGCTCGGCAACGATGATAGAGTTGATATTGTTACGGGTAGTCAGTTCTCGGGGCTGACCACCTTCGCAAAGTTACCTTACGTAAACTGTTTGGTCGATGATCAAGCACAGTTCACGCCTTATGATATTGCAATCTTAGGTGCCCCGTTCGACACCGTACGTACAGCCCTACAACGCATGCTACGCTGCGAAAATATCGTGTAATGTTGGGCTGATGCTGCTTCCAGGGCGTTACCGCTCGCCCCGGCGCCAGATACGGACCAGGCGGTATTCGTCTCGGCGCTCGGCGATTGCAAGGGTGGAGCGTCTACACGGGAGTCAACGTCTTCAAAAGCTGGGCGACCATCGTGGATTGCGGGGATGCGCCACTGACTTGGTTGGATAATACCGTTGCGCTGAAACAGCTTGATTTAGCACATAAGGCAGGTATACCCTAGTTCCTTAACCGTTCGCCATTTAACCTGTCAGCCAGGTTATATCATCACGTCCTACGAATACTACGGGCCTGGGCCGTACACCGCGTATTCTTACACTGGGCGGAGACCACACAACGACGCTGTCGGCACTGAGGTCGACCTATGACAAGTGGGGTCCTGTTTCGGTTATTCATTTTGACAGCCACCTCGGTATACTTTTTTACTTCCAGTGCATAGATAATTACTGACCTTTCAGATACTTGGGATCCAGAAGTACTAGGTAAGTCCATACCCAACAACCTGGTATCGCCATTACACAATTTCTCACGATATACTAGGCGGTGGAATATCCCACTATGCGTAAGTCTCAGATGTCGATATCCACAGATAACTGACATTACCAGCGGCGTAAACCACGGAACCTTCCTTCACATAGCTCATGAAGAGGTCAGTCACCATCCCAACACCAAGGAAGCAATATACTAACCATTTCCAGGGCCTTATCCGCAACACATCATTACACGTCGGCATCCGTGCCCCTACCGTGAGCCGAAAGGGCGACATCCGAAACGATATCCGATGCGGATTCGAAATCATCAAGGCGCGTGACTTGGATCGGGTCGGGATAAATGGTATCGTAGAGCAGATCAAGTCCCGAGTTGGTGATAGCAAGGTGTACATTTCCGTGGACATTGATGTGTTGGATCCGGCCTACGCACCTGGTGAGTCTTCCGATGCACTCTGGTTGGGTCAATATAGCTGAATATCGTAGCAACGGGGACTGCGGAGCCAGGTGGCTTCACTACCCGCGAGCTTCTTTCCATCCTGGACGCTCTACATGGATTGCCGGTGGTAGGCGCCGACGTTGTAGAGGTTGCGCCTATATACGATACGGCGGCTGAGACTACGACTTTGGCTGCTGCCGAGGTGGCTCATTCGCTGCTATATCTCATGGTGGAAACGCCGGTCAATGATAATTAGTGTCTAGGTTCGGATGCCCAAGGCCGAAGTACTTGCCTTTCTCTGACTAGGATTACATAGCGTGTACTAAGTATGTAATGTGTGAATATGAAATGGTAGCAGGCTTCGGTACTCATGATGAGCAAATGATACTCTATCTCCCGTTGCACGCATCATTATTGTACAAGACGCAAATCGTGACTCCAGGTCCGAGGCGAAGTGAAGCACGGGATATATATGCTATCCCTGAAAGCAAAACCAAATCGTGTGAAGAGCTCCGGTGAAGCAGCTTCCGCCGGTCAAGTACGACCCCAAAAGGGATCGGCTTTCAATAAGGCCATGCCAGTCTAACTTCGACCGGTGCGAAACCTAGTAAACATCCGTTTCAGCCTCGTATAAACCATAATTAGGGCCGGTTAGTCTCCGGGTAGGATAACTTGGCTATACTAAAACCGCCGATCTTCGCGTGGTGCATGTCACACGTACCAAACGTAGCCCATAATGTCCAGGTGTCGACATACACCTACTTCCTCTTGATATCCTACATTTTACCACCAAGACGCGTTTCAAAAAATCATCCGAGGCCACGGCAAAATGTGCAGTAAATGGCAATTAAAATTTAGAACACCCGTCTTACCGCCTACTACTTTCACTATGGTATGCGGCACTACGGCGCCAACGCGTGCGTAGTTGAACCAGATCACATCAATTTATATACATCGAAGCTTTTCAATTCTATACAATATGCCTAGACGCAAGGGCAGCAAGGATCTGACCGTCCAGATGCGAGCGCGGCTATGTGAGCTGCATTCGATTGGCTGGGGGGCGCGCAGAATCCACGCAAAGCACCCTGAGATCCCCATCTCTACTATATCCTATACTCTAAAAATGGAGCGCGTGCGAGACGATAATCAAAGCCTTACACGAACTGCGCGGACACGCAAGCTTACCGAGAAACGCCGGGGTCATACATCTAGTCAGAGGCATAGTGAACCTCACGTCACGTCTGAACCTGTACTGAAGGGAATCAATGAAGCTGTATGAAACCCGTTCTAACTCCGGACCCTTTATCTTAACCCCGCGACCCCACTTTTTTTTCTCCCGAGCAATTCTTTTGCATCATTGCGACATTCTGCAATCTGATAACCATTCCACCCCTCTTTTACTTTCTCGTCCAGCGTTGAACCACACCCCAGATCACCACAATGGTATTTCCCAACCTCCATACCCCCAATTGGGTTCCTTGACTAGGAAAACAAGGCTGACTGTCCAAGCCCCACGCCGACTCGTCCTACTTTGGCGCCAACGCCTCCAAATCCGACATCTACACCCAAGTGCTCGAGCAAGCGCAGGGTCTTGTATACGGACAGCGCAACTGGGTATGTTCAATCCAAGTCATCTCCTCCCAAAACAGTCACTCCCACATGACACCGATTGACTAACGAACCCAATACAACAGGTCAGGTAAACCCACCCCCACCCCACCAAACTGAACCCAAAGCTCCTACAAGCCACTAACAGACCCAGCAACTTCTCCAACGTCGCCTCCCTGCTGTGGCACGCCTACGCCACCCTCCCCAGCCCCTCCTCCTCCGTCAACTGGGCCGGCTTCTACATCCGCCAGGACAAGTTCCCCAATGCCCAGCCCACCGACGCCCAGAAGCAGGTGCTCTGGCTGGGGCCTTTCCAGGGCCGGCCGGCGTGTCAGGAGATTCGGTTCGGCAGGGGCGTGTGCGGCACGGCGGCTGAGAAGCGCGAGACGGTCCTTGTGGGTGATGTGTTGAGCTTCCCGGGCCATATTGCCTGCGATGCGAGCTCGAGGAGTGAGATTGTCGTGCCGATTTTGGTGGGTGGGGAGGTATGTTTCCCTTTTTCTTTTCTTTGCTTTTTTTGTTGAGTTGGTTTGGTTTGGGTGGTTTGACTGGTGGGTTGGGTGCTAATTTGGTTGTCGCTGGTTTAGACGGTTGCGATTATTGATGTTGACTGTACCGAGCCCGATGGGTTTGATGAGGTTGATCGTAAGTATTTGGAGGAGTTGGCCCGGCTTTTGGCGGAGGCTTGTGATTGGTAGGGGTTGTTCTGTTGCGCATAGATTGGGATTAGATTGTCGGTAGCTGTATATTGATTTCGATGGATTTGGTTATGGTGTTAGATGTAATGAATAGTATTAATGGACGTGGTGCGTGGAGTTGTTCGACTGGGGTGGAAATATAGGGTAGAGGTATGAATGGTAAGGATGGCGCACTCTACGTCTTACGCTGCAGAATATGCCAATCGCCGAATAAGATCCGTTGATCTAAGAGCTGTCTATCATATGTAGATTACTGTAAGTATCCGAAATGCTCTAACCTGCCTGTAGTCCCGATTATATCGAAGTCTATCGCTTTCGCCGAAATAAATGTGCAAGCAAATCCCCAAGAAAATGTAATATCCAAGCGCCGAGCCAGTCAATCCCTTGATGCTTCCAGCACACGTCTAGTGCGCGTATCCAACAGTAATACAAGACCAAATGTAAGTACCCAAAAAGATAATAGAATATCGAAGCCGCTACATGCTGAGCATGCTCATTTGCCGTTTCATCGGACTCATCGACCCGGCGTCGCCGTCTTCACTAGGTCCAATGCCACTGTCCGTGCCGGCGGCTCCAGCATCGGTGTCAATGTCCCATTCTTCGTCTTCGTCCTCGTCGAGCCCTTCCAGGCCGGCCTCCGAGCCACGGTAGAAGCTTTTTTGAACGGCCCCGCGGGTGTTCCACCGCAACGCGCGCTGGACGCTTTGGAACCATTCTCCGCTGCCGGATACCACAGTGGGGAATGGGTACTGGCTCGCTTCGACCGTGACATAGTCACCTTGGCGAAGCTCCACACGTCCTTTGCCATCGAAGGAGCAGTACGCCGTGGAGCGGGACCCGGCGGGGACGGCAAGGCGAAGTAACATCGAATCCGAGAGAACCATCGGGCGGAAAGACAGTGTGTGGGGGCAAATCGGCGTCAGGAGGATGCCCGGAATAGACGGATGGATCAACGATCCCCCAGCGGAAAGAGAGTAGGCGGTAGATCCTGTGTGGAATTAGTTTGTGTAGATCCGAGCCAGTGGAAGTCACATACCAGTGGGAGTGGATAGAATACACCCATCCGCTTGAACCACCGTCAGGAAATCATTGTCTGCGTACAGCTCAAGATTGGACACATAAGGCGACGGTCCACGGTCAATAACCAGTTCGTTCAGAACCTCGAACTGTTCACCTTCTTCCACGGCGCCAGCCTCCGCTTCCTTGCGTCGGTCCTTTCGGAACACGGTGCATGTGAACCGCATGCGAAGATTCACTCGCATCCCTACATCCCCCATGACCGCGTTCAAATGCTGCTTGTAATTCTCGAACTCGAAGTTTGTCAAGAACCCCAAACTGCCAAGAGAGAAGCACAGAATGGGAGGAACGATCCGTTGGAAGAGCCACGAGGTAAAGAGGACCGTCCCGTCTCCACCTAAGGTCAGCACAAGGTCGAACTTCTCCGGAGATTCCCAGCACAGATCTGGAGTCCAGTAATGCAGCATCTTTTCAAATCGAGGTTCCATCTGCAGAAGCCCCGGCGCATCAAAGCGCTTGGAATTCCGTAATTTCGCGTCCACATACACATTGACCCCGAGCTCACTTCCATACCGGGGAGTAGAGAGAAGCCACTCTGCCAGTTCCCGTGTTAAGTGTACGAGGCTATTATCCCGCGCCTTGGTGACTATCATGACATTCCGCACGGCACGTTTAATCGGCCGACGCTGCAGCTGCTTCGACACCTCCCGAACGCCAGTCGCCGTCTGAACCAAGCGAGAGTGTGACAGCCATTCGTCGTCCGTGATTTCCTCGAGAACCTTTTGGATATTCACGGCATCGTCAAAGCGTTGATGGAAGAAGCAGGGCGATTGCATCGCCAACCGTGCGGTCGGGGGCAAGCGATCTAGATAGGGCCCCAGCTGCAGGTTGGAGAGCGCGGCGGAGAGCTTCTGTGAGGATGGATTACTGGAGCGACGCTCCTTCTCATCCGGAGGACTCGAGGAAGCGCTATTGGTGAGAAGCCCGAGGGACGCCGCCAGCGGCACGTTGGAATTATTAGGGTTGGATACGGACGGGCGGGATGCAAGGGCTTTCATGATCGTCTGTCGAGGGATTGAATCAATGGAGAGGGCGTTCCGGTTGTGGGCCTTCAACGAAGCAGCGGAGCGGAGAGGAAGGAAGGGCGAAGAGGGTAGCGATAAGACCGCGGCGTCGTCCCGGGGGTCAGCCTTCTGCGGAGCACTGGTATGGGCTCTCGGGTGGTGATCGCTCGCATGAACGTCGCTCGGTGTCTGCGACGGGTCTATATGGCATGCATAATCACGAAGGAGAGAGGTTCCGGCTGTGATGGTAGACGTTGAGGAAGACGGGCGATCGGGATCGGACAGCGGGGCGGAGGACGATGATAATGTGGAGGACACCGGAGCAGACAGCGCCGTGGGGTGAGAGGCAGGAGTATCAGTGCATGTCGACTTCGCTAGACCATGGTTGGATGCCGGGGAAGCCATGGACAACCAGACAGATTTATGTGAGATTCCTCCGGCCGATTAGTGTGGGGAGGGGGGACAGGGTAAAGGACCAGAAGCGCAATGATTTGCCTGGGATGATGGAGTGATGGGGACACAAGTTGGAAGGGAAGAAATGCGGCCCGGTGTCGGGAGTCCTTGGGATTGGTGACGGGCACTTCGACAGGCTTCCATGGTCACTGACTGTGCAGCTCTTAGTCGTTGTCATACTAGTCGTAGTACTAGTAATGAACAAACTCCTGACTTATCTCCGCACCGCTAGGTTAATTCCGTCGCGTGATGATTCATTGGCGTCGGTGTTACGGAGAAAAAAACTCGCCTTATTCAAGAATTGATAATCATTGTCCATGATTACTCTTCCCTCCCAGCATGCTTCTTCCCGGTGTTTTCTTCGGGAGAAACATTCTTTACACACTCAATTCGTTGCGCCACACGATTTGTACGATCATCTGCAAGGGGGCGTCACTTCAGCTCCGTGCATCCTGGTCAATAATTGGCGGAATATTTCCCATTCCTTCCTCTCTCTCTCTCTCTCTCTATTTTTTTTAACATTTTTTTTTAAAAAAAATTTTCTCTTTTTCTCCCTTTTTTTCGACCCTGACTCTTTTCCAACTCACGTTGGAGAGGATGAAACTCCTACAGCCGCTACGCTTGAGAACGGGTATTTACGAAATACAGGGTCCAGACTTACACCAAACAAACTCAACGCAGACAACATGTCAATTAGGTATGACCCACTCGACATGGCTTTATCATGTGGTTTAGTTGGACAACTTCCTTAGCGTCGTACGTGTGTAAATACACCAGATGGATTTGTGTGCAGTAGTGTCTGTAGGTGAACCCCGATAAACACCGGATGTCGCCAGAACAGGTCTCACGCGTATCGATGCTTGACCCTCATTCGTATCTCATGCCTTCGTATCCACTCGTAGTCCGTCAAATTGGAAATCCTGTGAGCGCCAATGATATCTCTGCGGACGGTAAAATGCCCCGCGTATGTGCGATCCAACACGCCAGTCAGATGCCAAGGGGAGTTGGCCATGGCGAGAAGTGGAACTGATTGTGGGAGACTTCCGGTGCATCAACCGCCGTGGGTACGCTGACATACCAGATGGGGTGAACATTGCCGTTGGCTATCAGTGCCAACTTTATTGCTCGGTGCTTTTCTGCGAAGCCAACATTCAGGCCGCGTCGATCTTCCAGGCGTAATCTTGCTGGATTTTTTCTTCCATAGCCTCGCGCAACGCGCCTTCCAGGGGTTGGCCATCCACGTCCTCGGCCATAGCCACGTCTCCGTCGGAGGTACGGGCTAAAGTGCCATGGCAGATGGCCAAAGCGCGCTGGTGTACCTTTTCCCAGGTCTCAAAGTCAAAAGATCCCTGACTCTCGTTGAGTAGGAGATGTCCATTGGATGAGAAGGCGAAAACGTGAACAGAGGCGGCGGCGGCGGCTTCCTTCACGGAGGGTTCCCTCGTAATCTCTCCCGAGGCATCGACCGCCAGAACGGTCGCGGAGTAGGTCATGGATAAAGGAACGGAGGCAGAAAGTAGCGCCAACAACGACGTGTGAAGGAGGGCGGGGAGCAAAGTCAAGTACTATATGCCCATTCCATCCAGGTTAGCCGTAATTCCTTGTGCGAGTCAATCTTGGTTGCGATATGAACCACCCACCGAATCGCCTCTACCGACACTCTCTCCGCCCACAATAGCCAAGGTGATGACAACGCCACGTCTAGCGTAGCCTTTCTCTCGTCCCAGGATCAACTTGCTCAGCATATTCTTGATGATTCCTTCGACGTATCGTTCGCCAACCCCACCCGGTGCGGTCCCCGGCTTCACGAAAACTTCCACGGTCGCATCCTCCGGCTTGAGGGCATCACGGCGTCCAGGGAGCTCAATTGGCGCATTTACCGATCCGAGGATATTAGATCCGGTCGAAGGACATTGGTAAGAAGCCGAACCATCGGCGCGAGAGAGAGGAGTAAGGGAGGCTGTCGGTCCGACCATGGTGTGGATTCGAAGAACAGGACGTAACAGTAGATCAGCTTTGGTGTATATACGGGGTGAATATGTTCAGGAATGGGACACCAGGACGGAGGTCAAGGTGAAAATGAGAGAACCAGTATCGAGGTAGCTTCACTTCCACTTGCCGCTTGGAAATTTTTGGTCGTAGGGTACAATGCGGGCCGTCAGCTGATTGGTTGATCCACAGCTCCGACAGAACATCAACACTGCACCTACGAGTATAAAACACTCTTCCCTTTAGCTTCATCTACTTGCCAATCTTGGTGAATGAACTAGGAACTGATCGAAGACCAGATTATGTATTTAGTGCGGGGTATATTATGTTTGACCAAGCATTCATGCTTTAGTCGCTCCAAGCCAAAAGACGCCCGAGTATATGCCAATACCCACCATATATATATCTGTTGTGTACTTACAGTCCAGTACCTCCGGACGCTTGACTCGACCTCACTTGATAGTCACGAGCGAATGTGTGAATAAACTTGAGCTTCATATTTGAACTATTACCATATAGCCCGCGCCAGCAAACCCATTATCGCATACTACCATACGATAAAAGAAGTTAAAAACAAACAAACAACTCCTTCACCACTTTCTGTCATCGGATGACTTCACGAAGGGGATCGAAATTTATGCATCAAGCCTGATCTCAGCCTAATGTGATGCACATGACAAGCAATGACCTACACGAAATCCAAGATATCGAGGAATTATTCAAGAAGACCATATCAGGTGTCCACGAAACACCGAGCCTACTCGTAGAAGTCTTTCCAATATTGAACTATCTTCCTAAGAGACTCGCGAAGAGGAAGCAAACCGGTGACTTTATCCATAGCAAGGCTATGGCAATCTTTACAGAGAAAGCCAAGGCGACTCATGCCGATCACACATGGAATTAGACCAAGGCCATCGTCGCTCTAACACAGGCGCAGCAGTTACCGTTGACTGCGCTCAGTTACATACTTGGAATCCTGTACGAGGCGGCACTTGACACGACCGTCAAGGCACTGAAGGTTTTAATTTTCGCAGCTGTTCTGAATCAAACCGCTGCGAAGCGAGCCCAAAAAGAGCTTGACGAAATGGTAGGACAGGACCGAATGCCCACATTTGAGGACCTTCCAACACTCCCACATACGGCTGCCTCAGATGAGGTCCTGCGATGGAGGACAGTAAGCCCTGGAGAGATACCGCATCCTGTTCTAGAGAGTGACGAGTATATGGGATATAGAACTCGGAAGGTAGCGATGGTGGTTGCAAACCATTGGTCAGTCGAATTTGATGACCAGATATTCGAACACCCATACGACTTTAAGCCAGAACGATGGCTCTAAAACCAAAACCTGCCCTGAAATGCCTTAGGATTTGGCAGGCGATCATGCCCTGGAGAACACATCTCACGCCAGTCTCTCTTTATTATCATCTCCCGTGTCACATGGGTTATGATGTTGTCCGCGCGCATGATGATGATATTGTACTGACCCTTGGGCAATGACAGACGGCGTAACTTCCGGGCCAATGCCTTCCAGAGTATCATTTCAAGTTCGCAGCCCCAAGCGCCGGTGTGCTGTAGAGAAGTAATGGGTGTTTTTGGAAAAGGACACAGCTGCTATCCTAGTTCCGTAAGGGAAACAATGGAAAAATCCATCTGTCTAGGCATCCTCTGCTGTATAACTCGCTTGAGTGGAGGGGAAAGATACTCGTCTGATAAATCGATTCCCCGAATTAGCAATGTAGCTTTACCCTCAGCCAGCTCTTGGGTGGATTGAGGGCGATGTTGCATTGATGCGCTAGGTAATGCAGAATAGTCCCCTCCATACAGGCAAGGGAACTGAAGGTACGCAGTAGATACTATTGAGACCGAACACGGTGCTCTTCCTTCTACTACTGAAGGATCAATATATAATCAACAAATTCTTTGACCATCCATAGCGAATTAGATGGGCACGTAGACGACCGAGCCCTACTGTTGGAAACCCAACGGATACGGGGTTCGACGTCCTCATTCGGTGACCGAGTTGCATATGCGCTAGAATATCCGGCACAATTATCCGGCTAAATCGCTATCCGATCTGTGACAAGATGGGCGTTGTCGCTGTACGGAGTATTAGGCGTAGGTAATATAGTATGGACTACGGAGTACTACGAAACAAGTTCTCCGCCAAAGGCCCTAAATGAATCTTGACTCATCACAGCTCAAGGGCCTCACTCGGAAGCGAGTGAGTTAACCCCATATCTTCCTATGTAAAGGTATGAGCTATAATATAAGCTACTCTGATCCAATCAAACTTTCGCTACCATGGTATTTAGAATGTAAACCAACGTTTTAAATTCAGTAGTACTAGAAGCAAGAAAGACTTTATTAATCAACTGCACTCAAGGTAGGTTAAATATACCTATTTTAAATTACCCACTTGTTGGTTTCTTCTTGGAATAAGGACTCTTTTAGCCGGTATCTGATAGTATCCTGACTCTAAAAGTAATACCACAAGATTAGTTGAGTTGTACGCATTTTTGAAATGGCTAGTATTTCTTCCAGGTCTGGTCAGAGTAGTGGGTGTGGTAATGCTTTAGAACGCCAAGCACCGCAGATGGAACCTATATCTAAACCAACCACTCTACAAAGATCGCCGCAACCTCTTCACACCCAGAAAGCAATTGACGATCCGTCCCACAGCAGCGGAATTACGACTCGTCCCATTATAGATGGAAGCATGGCAGTGGATGGTGTAGCTAGACATTCGGCTCGATGTAGACACAGCGCTGCCTATCTAAGTAATACCGCCAGGGTGCTAGGCCTCTTGGGAAAACAACTTCTATATACACCTTGCCTGATCCTGTTTTTTGTTCAAGAGAACCACCCTATAGTCAGACAGCCTGCGGGATATTGATTCCCATCCACTGCTGCTACTCGTCCACGCTACGCTGTATATATTGGGTTACTCTATTCTGGGTGTAGCGGGCTACAAAACCCATCTTCCACATAGGGCAGGTCATAGTGGAATTTAGCGAGTCATATATGTGAGTATACCATGGCCGCTTATACTGTGTTTCTCTTTCCCGACACAGTAATACATGGCTGAGTGAGCCAAGGTGCTCGTGAAGCCACCACCATCATGGAACCGATCATGAATCCTGTCAACAACAGTGACTGACATAGATGATAAAGATGTATGATGCCCCTGGTAAAATAGAGCGGTACCTTGTTGCCATGGAGTAGATCAGAGTTGTATACTCCTCGCACACTTTGCTTGATTAAGGTCCTGATGAATAATTATCAGAGTGGTACATTTATAAGTATAGTTTTCACCCGGGCTTCTTTGGTAGCTGAAAGTGTTAATTGAATAGCTAGTTCCGAGGATATGTATTAGTACTAGCTATGAGCATCATATGGCGATAGCTGTTATACACGTAGCAACATTGTCGCACCTCATAGACCAGTGTTGTACACCCTTCGACAAACCCAGTGACGAATTAGCACATCAGAATTGTCTTAAAGGTCGATTTAAATGGCGCAGCTACCCGAACTAATGCTAGTGTAGATCTATACTGATGAACTGTACGAAGCTCTTATAAGATATGCTAGTAAAAGTAGGCGTTGGCTAAGGTCACGCCACATCGAGGGTCGCTATTACCATTGGTCAGATCTCAAGCCTGTCCTGCTGAGCATGTCTAAGGCCTCCCAGTGTCAAAGTCCCACTTGTTTTCATGCATGTCGCGCGATGTAACCGTGACCAAGAGCCAATGGTGGTGACTTGTTCAGCTAAGTAAAACACCCCCACTTTCAGCTGAAAGCACGTTAGGGCTATCTGCACCAACACGTATCCTGCAGCCTCTACCACCTCTGGCTGCTTTAATTAATCTTCCTCACATTTTTTGCTTTGGTGGAGCCTATATCAAGGGTACACTATACCCTGCAGTACACTAAACTAGAGCCTTTCTCTCTCCCTCTCCCTCCCTTTTGCCTTTTTCCTGCATGTGAGGGCTGATTCCCTCCTCATAAGGTCAGCTTGACGATCACCACACAACTGGTTCCCCCCTCGCACCAACGTCATAATTCGCCTTACTTAAAATGACTCTCATGGATGGCTTTTGGGAAGTTCCTTCTGGAAGTCGGGTGCAGGTGGCCTTGTACAGCCGTGGCAATGATCCACGGTGTGTGAAGTGTGCGAGCGCCCACAGACCAATTATCGACCCAATGATACGCCGTCTAAGCATCATGATAGCAGGGGTACCTATACCTAGCTGCATATGCATACGAGCATTTCTGTTGCCCCTCACCTCAGTTGGCCACATTTTTACGCAGAACCCCCAAGCATTTAATCCGTCGTAGGTGCGATTTTGGACTGTTTCCGAGCTACGACTTTTCAGCGCCCCGACTAAACTAACCTTATGTCGTCGACACCCCTCTGATCACTTGAAAACCTCCCTCAGCTTTGACGCATACCAAAGCTAATATGGTCGTTCAGCATTGGGGCACCATCGCAATCGGAGTGCTCGCTGTATACCTTGTGACTAGACTCCTTACGTTTAAAAAGCTTCCAGCGCCTCTCCCACCCGGACCTCCGCCCAAACCAATTATCGGTAACTTGAAAGACCTTCCTCAAAATGGAGAGAGGGATTGGGAGCATTGGCTGAAGCACAAACAGCTATATGGTAAATTCACACTCACTGCGATAATATCATCGGTGTAGCATGCCACTAACCTGGACATTCGCATAGGGCCGATTAGCTCCATAACTGTGCTAGGTCAAACGTTTGTTATTCTAAATGATGCAAAGCTCGCAGTCGAGCTTTTTGAAAAGCGATCCAAGTGGCATTCCGATAGACCTCCGATGTTCTTTGCGACCGAGATGTATGTTCAACTGTATATTATTCCTCGTCCAAAGTGATCCGTTAACGAGAATACAGGGCCGGTATCGGAGGCATCCTGGGAATGATCCGGTATTCTGATCGCTCTAGAGCCATTCAGAAAGCCATGAGCAAGGAGATTGGATCGAAGGTAGCTGTTTCTCGTTTTCACGGGCTTCAGGAGGCCGAGACGCGCCGCTTTCTCCTACGGGTGCTTGAGGCGCCGCAGGATCTGAGAGATCATATTCGGAAGTAAGTCGAAGAAGCTGGTGTCGTCGTGAAATTTGGTTTGGCTCACAAGATATGCAGAGAGGCTGGCGCGGTTGTCCTCAAACTTGCATACGGGTACACTGTCGAGCCGCACAAAGACGATCCATTGGTTGAGTTGGCAGATGTGTCAATGTCCTACTTTTCGTCCGTTTGTCGTTATGGAGCTTGGCTGGTGGATGTTATTCCAAGTTGTACGGTCGTTACCTTGCCAGTCTTAGCATGAGTCTATACTAACTACCATCCTAGTGAGATACCTTCCTTCTTGGTTCCCAGGTACCGAGTTCAAACGCGTAGGCCAGAGGTCTAAGGAAGCTTTTGAAAACTTCGGGGGGAAACCATATAACTTCGTGAAGCAACAAATGTCTCAAGGCACACATCATCCGTCGTATCTGTCAAGCATTCTAGAATCCGAAGATATCGAGCCTGGCTCCGAGAAGGAATACGTGACGAAATGGTCAGCAGCATCGATTTATGCCGGCGGCGCTGACACGGTGCGTATCATTTCAATGCAAAGGTTTCCTCGAGTGCCAGCTAACCGGCACACAGACAGTATCCACAATGGCATGCTTTTTTCTCGCGATGGCCCTATACCCTGAGGCTCAGAGAAAGGGCCAAGAGGAGATCGATCGTGTTATTGGAAACCGTCTTCCCACCTTTGCCGACCGGGATAATCTCCCTTACATCGATGCCATGGTGAAGGAAGTCCTCCGCTGGCACCCAGTTGTGCCGACCAACTTGGCTCATGTTTCTACCCACGACGACATGTGTCAAGGATACTTCATCCCAAAGGGCTCCATAATTCTCGCTAACCTTTGGTTCGTCCAACCTATCCCACTTATACATATACGGTATCTAACACACAACTCACAACAGGGGTTTCACACATGACCCAGACGTCTTTCACGACCCTAGGGAATTCAAACCGGAACGCTACCTCGGTGACAACCCCGAGCCTGACTCGCATCGGCTAGCCTTCGGATTCGGTCGAAGAATCTGTCCGGGACGCGTTATGGCAGATGCGGCCATCTACCTCAATATCGCACAATGCTTGGCAGCCTTCAACATTGGGAAGAAAATCGTCGATGGGAAGGAAGTAGAGCCCCGAGTAGAATTTCAGGCTGCGCTCATCAGTCATCCAGAACCATATGACGTGAGCATTAAGCCCCGGAGCTCGATGCATGAGGAACTCATTCGGGCGGTGGAGATAGACTATCCTTGGGAGAAGAGTCATGCAGACGAGCTTGGTAATATTAAGGCCTAGACGTTAGACGGATGATTGGATGTGATTGTTGGCGTTGAGAGGGATTTGGTGGAGGTATCCTTGACTTGTTTGTTTTTCGTTTGATATGTAGTTTATCAATCCCAATTAGGGCTTCTGCATACCCACCGAATGGGCCACAGAGATACTAACCCAATCAAATCTCGTTCTATTTATCCGCCGTGAAACGAGAGCGTTGAGAAGCAAGGTCGTAACCCTGGTCATGTGCATTATGGATGCCTGCATGAGTCCGGATCCGCAACAAGGTACAAGGAGTGTAGTGCGCACTTAGCCCTTTCTTTGACAACGCCACGGTCGTCCCGAAACACAATGTTTGGCCTTATGGACTCCGCCAATGTTATCCCGTGCCAATGGAGAACGTTAAATCTGCCAATATTTGCCTTCAGCACATATCATGGCATGAACATCATGCTGATAAACATACGCAAAGAATATAGCTCGTAACCAGTTTAGAAAACGGTGGGTCTACTAGAGCTAGCAGACAGCAGGAAGCACATTATTGATAGGGTTTCAAGATGCCTGAGATTCTAAATTGGTGGCTAATCTTCTTTTTAACATTCATCGTGCACTTGCCATTTGTAGGTAACAGTGTCTCTTCGAGCATGTAGCAACTAGGCCGGCTAATTCACCTTCATGGCAATGACGGTATACTTTGTTTACCAAGGGTTCAAGTAGAAGGAGGGAAGTAGTTTATGAAAGACGTCTATACCAAGTATATTGTCTACCATTCCGGTGAGCAATTATATCTTACTGTCCGAGTAATGTGCCTAAAGCATGATCATAGCATGATGGAAGCCTCATTCTCACGCAGCCCTTCATATCGGACATCTGTGAGTACCATCAACCCTTACGGCGTCCTATTGAACCCCCCTCTTCCATTGCTATGTTCAGCTGGGAGTAGGACTGGACTCCCATGAGCAAACGCAGGTATAGCAGAGTAACCGGGATCACTGCCACCCTGGACGTACGAGCGTTACCCTGTAAGCCTGCCAATGAAGTATGAATATCGTACCTAAGGATACACCATAACATGGCTCATGTCTAGATTCTACTTGCTTCAAACAAATCTTCACACATGCCTTGAGTACATGTGGCTGGGACAAAGGGAAATCCTCGTTGCCCCATCATGAAGCTTGCATAACTCCGAGATGTTTGTAGAAGGCGAAGACAGAATTCTCTGGCCACCCAGAAATGCAGTGCTTGAATAAGAACCAGGGTGTAGAAAATAGTAAATGAACTGCTTCACGATCATCCATTAGATGAGTAAGCCCAGTTTTGTTTGAGGAGCAGGGGTATAAACGTGCATGTTCCCATGTCGCTTTCTTTTCTTTGTTCTGTTTACCTTATCTCTTCTTTCATATTGAACATGGGGTGCCAGTATGTTCCATTATGGGGACTGTACATAACAAACATTGAACTGCAGGAAGCTGTCATCATGGAGGTAACATACATTTTAAGTTTATACTTTAAAATCCTTTCAGGATGTCATGTAGCACAGCTAATCGATATCCCATTTTGTATGCGTGACCTAAGTGTCAACTGAATTAAATGAACACTTACTGTGAATTCTTCGTTTCTTTTACTGGTATGCTCCATAGAGCTGCCATGGATGACTGGCGTCTTTGGTCATTAGTCCCGTCGTATTCTACATTGGTATGTGTAACTCATCCCTACTCCTATTATAGAGTGTCACGGATTTAGAAAGACAAAGCCAACAGTAAAGGCGGGTTGCAGACACCCACATCAATGAAGCCACATGGGCTCTTGGTTCCTTTCTGTACATGCTTTCAGAATATCGATACAAAGAGAGAGCACACAGCTATGGAGGCTGTACTCTCGTTATTGACCAACTTTGCAACAGGGATGGGCGCCATGAGGAAGCCCTATTCCATCATATAAAGACAGATGTAACGCAACATGCCATCTTTTCTCCATATTTTCTGAAGCATCCTATCTTTTCAAGGAACTAAGATTTCTCTTTCAAGTCTCTCTTCGGCGGTCATGTAAGCCCGTACTCCTAGAATCCGCTTTAGTGTTACTTGCTGACCTGGGAATAGTTGCAACGTGCATTCGTTGAACCTGGGTGAGTGGCACAGCATACCTTCCTTTCATCCTTTTATAACATCATATGCTGACAACTAAAGACCTATAGTTGATACCCACTTCTTTAGACCTCGCCGCGTGCCAATTGTCTGAAAGGGAATGGCTGTCTCGGATCCTCGATCATACATTTCTTTTGCTTGTGACAACTCCACCATAGGTAAACGCCAGCAGGGATTCTATTATTTCTCTCATTGACGCGAGCATTGTATAGACACACCGGTGAATATGCTCCATACTCCAACATGTGACCCGGCGAGAAGCGCCTTCCCATTTCATCTGGTGTCTAAAAGTGGAACCGGCTCAAGTTGTATAAATAGAGCGCTGATCCAGACTACCTGCTCTTCAGAATCACACTTGCTCAAGGCATCGACAGATACATCGGTTAGAATGAATGGCGAAACTGGTTCACCATCAGAAAGGCACCTTGTTCCACCGGCGTCAGAAGAACGCCGAAGACAGTGGATAGAAAGAAGAGCTCGGCGCAATTGGAAGCGCAGGCTCCGGGCCCACATTGTCTCTGGCCTGACGGATGACATTCTTCGTGATTTACTTATTAGACCAGCAGAAGAGAGGGATGAACACAAAAACATTCTAGATATGGAAACTGTCCGACAATACGTACCTCTTGAATTTGAGGGTAGATCCGTCCCCGATGCAGATGCGGCGCGGGAGCTTACATGGGCGACAGAAGACGCAGTAAAATGGCGGCTACGTGGGATTGAATCGTAAGTCTTCGTTTTCTTTTCCTTACTTATTGCTGATAGCTGGAGAGGCTGTTAACAATTTCTAGTATCTACGGATATACTCGGAGTCAGCCATATAATCGTACGAGCCGTCTCGTTGCCTTGTGGTATGGTGAGGAGCCTGTACTGCCCAAATTTCTTAAAGATGTTCTGTATTTTGAGCTTCGACTGGGCAATGATCCTAGGAACATCCGTCTTGACTCTTCATGTAAGGTTTATCCTGTTGATTCACCATCTATATCCAACGTGACACAGCCCATTCGTTCCTTCGGCAGCCTAGGTTTTCTAGCTCTTTTAGAACATCGAGTTCATAGTAAAATCCAGGTGCGCCATGTCGGTGTCACAGTGGGCCATGTCGTCGACGGTGGCACCGAAGATACAGTTGAACTTGAAACTGATGATCAGATATGTCCGGTCCAGCTACAAGTAGCGCCCAACTTCGAACGGCAAGGTAGGAGGAGACCTGCCTTCCGGCACGGCTGGGCTAGGCCACGAGAGTGCTTCGATGAAATCTGTCTACTTGAGACAAACACGCTATCCGATGAGCTGGTGGCTCTGTACCATATATCTGACGCCATAGATTGCAATGCCCTTTTTTCTTTACCAAGTGGAATTGATCCAGTTGGCTCTCTCACGGACCCAGCTCTCTTTGACATCGATGATGTTTACGACTCGTTAATAGAGATGCTTCCACTGGAAGTACACAAGCACGGCGCTGCGACTGGACAGACGACTGGTACACTTGTAGATATTCAAGACCTGGAAGATGACGATACATACTCGACACAGGCGGTTAGAGATGACACGCAGGCGTTCAAGTTGAAGATCAAATGGCTGTCCCCCGAGGAACCGTTTGCGCAAGATGGAGACTCTGGAAGTCTTGTTTACGGAAGGCATCATGGTAAGACTGTCCCTTTAGAAATTCATTATGGATCCGATGAAGGTTTAAGGGTTAGCTATTCGTATCTTCTCTGGTCATGGTGTGAGGAGATAGATAATAAGCTGGACTTACGTCTTACATTTTGTTCTCCTGGCCGCTGCCGCTATCAAAGTTCGTCTTCCTAACTGTTCTTTGTATCTCAAAGCTCCCTTGTTTGTGCATGAGATTGTCTTCGTCGTCAATGCTCATTCTCCTTTTTCTCTCTCTTTTCTTTTCGTTTTCTCTTTCTTTCTGTCTTTCCTTCCATTTTTTGTCACTGGGCTTTCCTCAGGACTCCTTAATAGATATTCTCCTAATACCCTGTCCTCGGTGGTCAGTCTGTCAATTACCTTACCAAACCGCTCGGGTGCCGTGAACAAGAGGTATCCCGGAAATATTCACTTTGTTCTTCTCACCACCCTTCGTATACAACTATCTCTATTGTAAAACCCTCCTTTCCAATCATATAACATCATACGTTCAGGCCAGCCCCCCTTCAAGAGGCGACATTCAATGACCTCGCCCCCAGCGGTGTTTTCCACAGCACAGGAGGTTGAATGAAGATGTACTATATATACGGGACATCAATTGAAAATGCGACGTGACGCCCCGTCATCTCCTGCTATATATCCATGGGACCAACGCACTCCTCTCATTTGGGCTCGGACTACCTGTGTGGGCCCGTCGCCCTCTTTCTCTAACGAGATTGCCTTTGCGGCCCTTGCGAAATGGGAAGCTGGATGACGGTTTTCGGGTCTTCATTGGGAGATAGGGCTGCAGGGTTGGCTTACGAGTTTTGGCGTGTGTTAGTGTGGCGGTAAAACCTGTGTTGGGCCGCTCATTTGGCGATCTAGGAAAGGACGACCGTTAGGGGTCGAGCGTTTGCTCGGTCTCATACTGCCTACACTCTTTTCGTTTTCTTCATGTATTATCATCCTTCTGGGAGTGCAGGAGATAGATGGATAGGTATTGAAGTTCAAGGGATAGAACGGATATAACACCTCTTAGATAGGATGCTCTTGAATGGATTTCCGGACTGTCTCGCTTAAAAAAAAAAAAAAAAAAAAAAAAAAAAAGGGAGGAACTAGCAATCATAGTCCCCCGTACATAAACAGGGCATACATGTATTAGTTGTCACAAATACCAGCCTTTTAGGCAGCCCGCATCTCTGGGCCCCCTCCCCCTTTGGGCGTATGTCCCGGATGCCCTGAGGTTCTTTCCGTCCAAGTTGCAATACAATCAACTTCATACTCATGCATAATGACGCAACAAGGTCTACCAGTGAACACTACTCCACGGGTGGTCCAAGCAACACCGATCGTAGAAGGATAGATCACGGACCCGTCCTCCGAACCCCACAATTCCACGGAGCGGGGGCTCCGGGCGGAGGCGTGATACCGGGCGCCCTAAGATATGTCGGTATGGGGTGGAACCGCCGCGCGGATTATCTGTGTGGGTACCTCCACTTTGGCAAGACTACACGGGTGGTGGGTGTATATATTCTTTTTCTGATGGTGGGTTTCGAATGAGATATGTGCTGGAGTATATAAGAGGGTTTAAGTTACGAAGGATATCTACTTGGACTCCTCTTGGTTGGTCTGTTGTTGAAATTGTTCTAGATTTTGAGCGAGAAGGATACTCGAAGACTGGCAATATGGTTCTTGCGCAGCCCGAAAACAAGCATGTTATGCAGGTGTTCAGCCTGAAAGGAAAAGTGGCTATCGTCACCGGTAAGTCGGGTGGTTCATTTCTTTACGCAGGGGATACTGATGAGCTTGGTTTGAATTCTAGGCGGTACAAGGGGTATTGGGTTGGAGATTACCAATGGGCTAGCGGAGGCTGGTGCCGATGTAAGTAGGGGCATAGTTCATGGCCCGATGATTGATAACGAAAGTGGATTCATGGGGTATTGTTCAACAGGTTGCAATTATCTATAACTCTTCCAGCACAGCCGAGAGTACAGCGGCCTCTATTGCGCAGGCACACAATGTAAGAGTTGCTGCGTACCAGGCCAATGTGGGCGATCAGAAGGAGATCGAAGCAGCTGTCCAGCGAATTGCTCGGGACTTTGGTAAGCTAGACATCATGGTCGCCAACTCCGGCATCGCTACCGCAGTCGCCGCGGAGGACTACACCACGGAGCAGTGGCAGCAAATCATGAATGTGAATCTGGACGGCGCATTTTACACAGCCCAGGCTGCTGCTCGAGTGTTCAAGGAACAGGGGTCCGGTAATATCGTCTTTACCGCGTCGGTTAGCGCCGCATTGGTCAATGTGCCCCAGAAGCAAGCCGCGGTAAGTTGGGCATACGCGACCCGGCACCTCATTGGTGTGAGATTCCCCAGGAGCCCTTTCTGACAGGTCTCGCCACAGTATAATGCCTCGAAGGCAGGAGTTGTTCAGCTGGCTAAGTGCCTCTCGGTTGAGTGGGTAGACTTCTGCCGCGTGAACTGCATCTCCCCGGGTTTTGTCGCGACTGAAATCTTGGATCATCACCCACCAGAGCTGCGGGAGAAGTGGCTCAGCATGATTCCAGCTCGCAGAATGGCTGGCACGTACGAGTTGAAGGGGGTAGGATCTTCCATCCCATGGTCATATGTTGTAGCTCCTCTCGCTAACCAGGAATTCCTATAGGCATACGTATTCTGTGCGTCAGACGCGTCGAGCTATATGACGGGAGCGAACATAGTGATCGATGGTGGATATACCCTTCCCTAATTATTTCCAGTTAATGAATGTCAAAAGGAATCAATGGAATGCAGTACCAGCAGCATCATAGACAGGTCAATAAACCAACTTCAGCTAATAGTTCATTGTAAAGATTGCGTCACAGTGATTGCAGACCGGTCACCTGGTGCATGAAGTCGCTGATCACGGATTGCTGCCTAAGAAGGAGAGTTAGATTGTCGGTCCGGATTGGATATTCCGCCTCAAGAGACGACTTACAAAGCAGAATCCACACCATCAAGCTGTGCCATCTCTAACGTTGGCCACATAAGAGGGTATAGGTTAGCTATCTGTGTCTCTGGTGATTCTTGGATCGGGCCCTCCCAGCCATTGCTGCGGGGATAGAGATAACAGCCACAGAGAGATTGAATGACTCGAAGAAATCGTTCAGCGTTCGCATTGAGTGGCGCCATTGACTCGAGGGTGTTGACTGCTTGGAATATCTGTTCGCGCCAACCATGGGCGGCCGGATCTGACGGATTGTTGCGGAGGCAGATTACAGGGATCAGGATTGCTTGGAACAAGAAGTATACACCATACCAGCATGCCATAGTTGTTTTCTGATGTTGTGCCCAGAATGATGAGATAAGCTCGACCGATTCGCGGGCGGCATCAAAGCATCGTTGAATGGCAAGTTCTACATGGGTATCATCTTTCTCACGGAGGCTGTCCGGGCCATTGTCTGAGTTGAGCATCCACTTTCCTACCAGAAATGGCCGGTACATCAGGATACGAAGATTGCGATATCTCCATCGCAGGATGGAATGACAGAGAGCAAATTTTGGCGGCTGGATGGCCGCCTCGTTAAAGAAGGGAGGAAGAGATGCCAACCAATCGCCAATGAGACGGTCATCTAGTTCGATTAGTTCAGCCGCAGATGGGAATGAGGTCGAGGTGATCTTGGTATAGATCAGGTTTGTTTTCAAATGGAACATCGCCTGCGCCCGTAGATGGGTGTACACAGTAGTTTCAGCTACTGGGGTTGGGGCAGCTTGTGTGCTGGCAGTAATACCCTGCCGAGCTATTAGCATTTGAATCGTTAGACCCTAGGCAAATGGAAACTTGCGCTTTCATGGATGTTTAATGGCAGGCGAGTATCGATTCCCTGCGCTGGAAATTCCAAGGGTCGCGAGAAGGTGATGATTGCGCCCACATCAAAGATGTAGAGACAGTACCAAACTCTCCGTCTCATCTCCATTGCTAGCGGAGACGCTTTCGAAGTAGGAAACTCTTTATGCAACCCGATCCCCATTGCAGTCCGCCGGGCAAGGCCAAGATAATTATATCCGGAGTTTGGCTTATTCCTCTTTTGCAAGTAGTTTGAGCTCAAGGTCAATGCTTGGACTAAGATTAGGCTGCCAGTTTCCAGCACATCGATTGTTAAGCGAGTCTTTGCCGCCTTAAACAAAGCCAGATCCACATCAGTCGGCGTTACTGCAGCTGTAAAGGCTCCCAAGGCTGCTACCACATACAAAAGTACCTGCCAGGTGTTGCTGGTTGGCCGTGGAATGACCTCCATGAACTGCGCACGAAATGTCGCTTCATGAATGATAGGATATGAGCAATGATAAAGGGAAAAGTAAGCATCGACGAATGGTTCCAGTTGAGACAGAGAGCTCAGGGCAAAAGGGACACTTGGTGACTGATGGGAAGATGCTGTTTCAAATGGGCGACCAGGTTCGGGCATGTCAAGCCTTTCCGCACCAGGTTGGGAGTTTGTCATGCGCAGCAATGCAGCACCGGATGCGGTACCTTCAGTGGTGGGAGTCAGTCATGTCTTTCAGGGAATGCTATTCGTAAACTTAGGGATCGAAAGGCATACCTAAATAGCCACCATCATTAGAACGGCTAGGGAGAATAGCCATGCCATCCACAAATCCATCACCACCCTGGTCCTCAGAGCGTTCATCCCATTCGAAATTGACATTGCCAGCGGAAGGGGGTGTCTCCATAGACATTACAGCGTCCTGGCTTCGGCGATTGGCCCGGTGGGAGATTCCTGTCTGGTTCCTCTCCGAGTAATCGCAAAGCTGGCCGCTACTAGCTGAAGAAGCGCTGAATACACCCAGCGAGGGTTGGCTGGGGACCTCCGGGGCAGGAATCGCCTCGGATCCGATATTGCTGTGGGGTACATAGGCCCTCTCCGGCTGCTCTGATAATCCCTCACGGTTTGCAATGTCGGAAATCAGAACCCGGTCGCCGGTGCCATCCTGCTCGGCATAAGTAAATCGGTCGTCATTGGCAAGACCACCACTGGACCGAGGAAGAAGCTGAGAGAGCAGGGCCTTGGTCCGCGTCAGTTCCTCCTCGACCTCCGTTAGATATTGCCTGGTTAGGGGCGTCTTCGACAAGGTTTCGTAAATGCATCGGCGATTAAACTTGTCACATAGGGAGCAACTTGGCACGAGCCGATCGCACT